CTGGTGTGTACATAGCTTGCCTTGTTGCGGAACTTCGGGCGCTTTACATGAAGCTTCAAGGTGATGAGGCGGATACCTGCTCAGGTGAGGCTCAAAAGGGCCATGGGGAAGTGGATGCTTCGGTTTCTGGTGAAGCTGTAGGGTGCTCAGACTTTGAGTGGGATGATGACTCTCAGGATGTCAAGATGTACCAGGTGCCTGATTGCATCAAACCACTGCGTCCATGTCATTCGTCGGATGTTGGGGATAGCTGCTACACACTGGAGCGAGTGGATTGGCCTATGTGTGTCAACGTAGCTGATGAGATGCAGGAGTTGGCTGAGGTGCATAGGGCCATGTGCAGCTTGTTGGATGGGCAGTCTGAGGAAGTAGATGGCCAGTGTTGCAGTTGTGAGGCTCAGTGGCTTGACGAAGTTCAGGGTTTGGAGCAAGAGCTTCAGAGGATTAAGGGATTAGAAGATAGTCTGCTGTTGTCCTCCGAGGGTCCAATTCTTAAAAGTATTGAACTGTGTGTGGACAATGAGGTGGAGGCTGAGGCCTGCCAGTTAGACAGGAAGAGCGAGGAGTGCATGCTGGGATCCGGGAGTCTAAAGGCTGTTCAAATGGACGATGATGATCCACCACCTCTTCAGTCGAAGATTGTAGCGCAGGACCAAGTTCGACGTGAGCTTGGTAAGTGGCGTGGATCTATGGGGGAGGAGGTAGAGTCGTTAGTTCAGAAGACTGAAGCAGTTGAAGACTTGACAGACGACCAGTATCACAAGCTGGTGGCGGATCCAGGCGTGCATGTGGAACTGATTCCAGGAAAAATGGTGTATGTTTGGAAATCCACTGGACGTCGTAGGGCGAGAATGGTGGGATGTGGCAACTTCTGTGACAACGATGGCAGCACTCAGAAGGCAGATCTTTTTGCGAGTGGGGCTGGTGCGGAGTCCATTCGAATGATGATCCGCAAGTGTACTCTGGAACCATCTTGGCATCTGGTCTCGGTTGATGTGAAAACAGCTTTTCTCCAGGCGCCGCTTATGGAAATGCAGAAGGATGGTAAGGAGAAGGTCACAGTCGTTAAAGTTCCGAGCATATTAAGGGAAGCGGGTGTTACTGCTACCAAGTACTGGAAAGTCAAGAAAGCTCTTTATGGTCTGAACTCGGCGCCGCGCTCGTGGAGCCTTCATAGAGACCGGGTGATGACGGATCTTCGGATTGAGTATGGTGATGGCATCTTGAGGCTTCGAAAGCTAAAGGAGGACGCCAATCTCTGGCAGATTCTCAAGTATCCACGGGAGGGCAGAGATCCTGAGAAGGAAGCCGGTGAAGCAGGAGGACAGTGCCTCGGGATTATAGCCTTGTATGTGGACGATATCTTAGTTGCGTCGGAAAAGGACGTTGCCCAAGCTGTAGTTCGCGGACTGGAATCAAATTGGGAATTGTCAACCCCGGACTGGGTGTCGGAGGAAGGAGATTGCTTGAAGTTTGCAGGCTTCGAGCTGGAAAAAACCAGTCAAGGGATTCGTCTTCATCAGGAGAGCTACACCAAGGATATCCTAGAACAGTACCAAGACACAATCCCGGGTGTGGAACGTACACCAGCTGTCAAGACTGTTGAAAGTGAGGAACCGGTGGATCGTTCGGAACAGCTGGAGTGGACGAAACGTGCACAATCATTGATTGGACAGTTGCTCTGGCTTGCGGGGAGGACCCGTCCTGACATTGCTTATGCTGTGAATCTTGCTGCTCAGAGGATAGTGCCATCTCCGGGTGAGGCGGTTGCTCGCGCAGAACACTTGATCAGGTACCTTAGGCATGCTCCAGGAGTCGGTCTTCATTATGTGCCACCAACAGGACAGTGTGGAAGGTGGGACCAGCTTAAGTTTCAGGAGACGAGGACAAGTCTAGAAGCATACTCGGATGCCTCTTTCGCTGCGGATGAGAAAAGCCGTAGTTACGGCTGTATTCAGCTGTGTTGGGGAGGAGCGCTGATATTCTGGGCCTCATGCAGGCAGACTCTCATAGCGTCCCATACTGCTGAAAGCGAATTGTACTCGTTGGCAGAAGCGCACTTGTTGGGGAAGGCCATGAGACCAACGGTCGCAGCTCTGATGAACGCTCAAGAGGACCAGGTGGATTGCAGGTTATACTGTGATAATTCTGCGGCAATTCAATTGTGTGTTCTGGAATCAGGGTCGTGGCGTACACGCCATTTGCGATTGCGCGGTGCGGTGGTTCGACAGGACTTAGAAAACGACTCCTGGAAGTTAGCGCATCTAGATGGGGCTTACATGCCAGCGGACCTGGGGACAAAAGCAGTAGGACCCGCGAGACTGGAAGACTTGATTAGGGTGTGTGGGTTATGGGCTCCTCATCTTGAACTGTCGAATGATCCGCCTAGGCCTCAAGTAGCTGCAATGCAAGGAACTCCTAGTGATGTGTCGAAGGCGCTGTTAGCACTGTTGGTGCTGCTGCAAATCTCGGCTGTCAAAGCGGAATCAGTCTACGCAGGGATGGATGATCTAGTGACTTTGTGGCGAAGCTTCATTGTTGGGTTCGGGATAGGCTGTGGGTGGATGCTTGCGTCCAGATTGGGTAGGTTGCTCGATCGATGTTGTCGCAGGCGCCCGGTAGTCATGGAGTTCCGAGGACCCCCAGTAGGGACCAGTGGTGTTGAAGGATGGACTCAAACTGAAGGGTCAGAGGTTCAGAGCCGCTTGGAAGCGGGGGAGCGTGGGAACCAGGCGGCACAGCACGTCGGATTGGGGGTTCCTTCAGGGTTGATTGAGAGGGATGTGGGAGAATCTACATGTTACGAGGACTTCTGCGAGAGGGCTTTTCCGGAACTTCAGGGTTTGTCTAGAGGGTCGGGTGACATTGTGGGTTCAAGTGAAGCGTTGGAGGTGCTGCCAGGACCAGTAGACAGAAGCGGATCACCGGAGGTGAGGTTTCCTAGCGGACAAGGACAGTATGACGCAGCGAGTGCATATGCTACGGCTTCAGATATGGAACCACTGTATGTGCAGAGGCCTGTAGGGTTTCCGCCTGGTGACATGATAGAGTTGGCTCGTGCTCCCACGGTTCCGTTGCCTCCTAACTATCCTTACCCTGAGAACTTTGGCAATCGTTTTGTGTATGCCGACGATGAAGTTGAGCTAGGTGAAGATTCGGATAGCGGTGACGAAGCCAGTTCAATAGGTCAGTGGACTACAGATTCAGGCATGCCTAGGGGTCGCGGCTCAAGTTCTGCAGGATCGCAGGGCACCGGCAGGAGCCTGACGGCAGTGAGCCTTGCTGCTTCGGTCCAGTCGGCTCAAGCTTGGCAGGACGCTGCTCAGGAATCTGATGGGACTATGGAACTTTGGCTGTTGCTGGGTATGATTTCTGTAGGCTGCATTTTGGTTGGGGCTGTAGGCGCTATTGGGTGCATGTGGTTGTGCAAGTGCAATACCCACAGGCATCAAATTTCAGCTGAACGTACTCCCACTACTCCTACAACTCAAGGGCAGAAGGTTGCTGAGAAGAGCAGTTATTCTGACCGGCATGTTTCGGAAGGGCCTCTTCAATTTTCGCCAGTTGTGAATGTGACTGTTCGGACACAGTTTCAGGGAGAAGATTGTGCTCAGCATGAGAGGGTTGAGGTTTTGAAAAGAAGCTCCGAAGATGATATCAAGGAGGGCTTGCGTCAGAGGGGACAGCAGAAAACATGTGAATCCACTGTAGGCCCCCTTAAAGGTTTAGAGCCTCATAGGACCCGTGTTGAAGTCTCCGCGATGGAGTCTGCGCAATCCCGTGTAGGCCCCCCTAAAGGTTTAGGGCCCCATAGGACCTGTGCGGAAGCCTCTGCGGAGAGGCCTGTGCAATTCCCTGTAGGCCCCCCTAAGGGTTTAGATCTCAGTAGGACCCGTGCTGAAGCATCGGAAGTTGAGCCGGTGCAAGCCCCGGTAGGCCCCCCTACGGGTTTAGGATCCCATAGGACCTTTGTGAAGGCACCCGAAGTGGAGCCAGGAGTTTCCCAAGTAGGACCTTGTGGTTTAGGACTCCCGAGTATCCCTACAGGGTCTAGTGATAAAGTTGAAAGGCCCAGCGGGTCAAGTGGCGACGCTCAGTTCGATGTTCAGGTCAGTGGGTCTGGTAGAGATCTAGATCAAGAGCGTCCGATTGTGCGAGCAGATGGGTTTGTTGAGTATCCCACACGCGCGGGGTCTCGAATTATGATCGATAGGGTTATTCGACCTCGCGGGTTCAAGAAGATGGACATTCATAGTTGCAGTGCAGATGAGCCGGGGGTCAATGTGATCTTCACGAAGAATGGAGATTGCTTTCACAGGTCTCTGGAGTGTCCGGCAGCTAGCAAGTCTTCGGACATTCGCAGGCGTCAGACTTGTTTTGTGTGCAACAGAGGGGAGGGATTTCCAAAGCAAGATACGATCTACTTTAATCGCTGGGGAAAAAGGGTTCATGTGAGCCGTGACTGCCCTGCTTTGGACCCTCACCAAGAGGTTTGTGCTCGCCGCAGGTGTAAGTTCTGTGGAAGCCAGTGAGGCTTTGAAAACATGGACAGCAGTGCGCGAAGCACCCCATGCTTCAGGGCATTTTGTCCTGCACAACAGCATGGAACGAAGCAAATGTTCGTTGGGGGAGTGACTGTGGATGTGCAGGCATGCAGTTCGTGTGCAGAGCATGCTGCTCAAAGGCATGGAGTCAGGGCATTCAGGTCCGGTTTGGTCCAGTTGCTAGGGCTCCAGACTCACTTCTCTCAGAATAGCTTAGAGTTGAACAGATTCTTTTCACAGATCAGGTAGCATCTGACAGTTCGTTTCGTGAGAGTTTGCGCTGCCGGGAAAAGGCAGTCGGGTCGGGCATTGAGTTCTTGCCTGCCCAACGGGCAATTAGAATAAGGTCTTGGGCTCGTTTTTATGGTATACTTTACAATAAGGGGCCCTAAGGAATAATGTAGGTAAATATTTTAGGCTTCTATAGAATAGAGATGCCGAAAGTGTCCAGGCGACTGGAAGATACGAGGCTGATTGATTTGAAGCGCCCGCTCAACAATGTTTGTCGAGGTGGCATCTGGCCCACTCTGCACCTCAGGTGACAGCCCTTGCTCCAGACATGGAGAAGCCTGAGTCAGCCCTCTCACCCGGTGTAACTTAGAAGCTGCCCCCACCCTGTAATAGTGACCATAAGGGCTATTTTAATAATATATTAGGGCCCTATTATATTCCTATTATACCACTATTACAGGGTTGGGGCAGCTTCTAAGGTATAACTATAGAGGCAAGTCACATAGACGTTCGACCAACTTCCGAGCTGAGAGATGTTGAAGTTCTGAGTTCGGAAGCATTGGATGGTGTTGTTGTCCGTGCGGACCGCCTGTTGGGATCAGCCAGTTCTGGCACAGTCTCCACGCATCCCCCTGCCCTGCTCAAAAATCCCCCAACCTTTCTAAGACTACATCTTCCTTTTGCCAGCTATCATACAAAAAGGATCATGGGACTTAGTAAGTAGGTTATAATTGGGGTTACAAGTCCCAAAGTGGGGTTATCCTGATTAAAAACCTACTTATAACCTTACTTAATAAGTCCCATAAGCCTTTAAGTAGTCTGGGGAACGGGATTCGGAAAGCTGTCCAGCCTGGGAGCAAAGCGGCTGATAACCGCTGCCTGGATTTGAGACATCTGCAGGCACATCGGACCTTATCTGACTTCTGAACCCCTCCCAAAAGCCTCCTGATTATACTTAATATAGAAATCCAAAGAAATAACTCTAAACCCTTAACCCTAACCCCCAAACCCTAAACCCTGAACCTTAAGACCCTAAGAGCCAACCAGAAGAACGCCAAGGGACAAAGGCGTGGCCCAGACCTTCATGCGGGCGAGGGGTGAACTGGATTTGTATAGGGGCCTGAATTCTTAGAACAGGGTTCCTTTGAAGGAGACAACAAGGGCCACCATAAGGGGTCTATAATAAGGGTTCTATAATAAGGGTTCTATAGTATAGAGGCCTTAGTAAATAGAATAGGGTTTTGGGGTATAATGTACTATAGTTATAATAAGGAACCTCCAAAATAGTACTGGTCAGTATTGGTACTTGTTTAGGGCCCTAGAGTATTCTGATTCAGCTCGATGTTAGGCGAAGCCACTTGCTGTCTCGGAACTTCAGCTGCCCTAAGCATCAATCAAGTCATTCAATGCGATTGTCGGCGTGAGCGCAAACCCTAAACCCTAAACCCTGAACCCTAAACCCTGAACGCAAAACCGACGCAAAACCGGCCTGGAGGTAACCTTGTGACACATTGTCCCACGGAAGGTCACCATCTTGCAAGGTTCAAGCTTTAACAGCTCTAGGGCTTCAAGGTTACCTCATAAGGACCCTCAGGGGGGGAGGGGGCTTGGGGGCCATAATACCTACAATAAGAACTGAATAAAGCCTATTTAGGGAAGTAGTCCCCTACCCCTCCCCCCTGCCCCCCTAAGGGTCCCTATGATGACTGGTGCTGAAGCAGAGGGGGAAGTCAATTCAGGTCCAACTACGAAGGTTTACACGAGGCGTGCAAACGATTCAGTGGATTCACCCGCCCAGTCCCCCATGAGGCTTCTGAGGGCTTTGGGGATGTGCAACATGAAGCCTGGCTCTGCAAGCTATCCACAAAGTCATATACGATTTGTGTCGGTATCTGCCTGAGACTGCACAGCATACATCAGTGCAGACATCAAGGCAGAGCATGCAGTGATTGAGCCTAAGCCCTTCTTTCGGCATCGCATCTGGCTGAGGCCCCGTATAACCAGACAATCCGTCCCCAAGGAAAATCATTAGTCCCTTTACTGTCAAGCTCTCCGCCCTTCGAAGTGCAGCGTTTCACAACCTTTGAACACACCCTGACCACTTCATATGATTCTGAGGAAATTATAATTAATGATAGGATCATGCCCTTCGACAAGTCGTCCTCAAGATTCAATCACGCACCTGACAATGCAAACCAATTCTTGGGCCCCAACCCACAATCACTATGAAGGGCTCCGAGGAGGACATGTCCTGGACTGGCTGCGACAGGCCTGAGGCAAAGCTCAATTCGGACAGCCCCACACACTCCGCACTTGCAAGTTACATGGGTAGTTGTCAAAATTAGGGTCCCTTTTAGGTACGCTAGATACTAGGTGCCGTATTATTGTAAGGACCCAAGAAGGGACCATAATTTTGACAACCACCCACATGCCACCCTTCGGGGCTGTGCTCTAGATGAGCCTAGCTTACATGAAGTCTGCTCTCCTGCCGGTTTCGGGCTTAGGGTTCAAGATTCAGGGTTTAGGGTTTAGGATTCAGGCTTCAGGGCTTCAGGTTTAGGGTTTAGGGACCTTAAACCCTAAACCCTAAACCCTTACTTAAAGGATCATGGGACTTAGTAACTGGGGTTATGAATGAGGTAACTATACTTATAATTAATCATAACTTCAATTAAGGTACTTTTAACCTTACTTACTAAGCCCCATGATCTTCCAAGTAGACCCTAAACCCTAAACCCCATAGACCCTTCAAGGATCCCTATAGATCCCTTTGAGGAGCCCTTTAAGAACCCCTACTAAGTCCCTTGATCTTCCAGGTAGCTAGACTGAACTTAGAACCCTAGCAAAAATTATAATTTTAGCTGTTTCTTAGGGATTATAATAACCAAAAAGTAAAAATTATTTCTTAGGGATTATAATAAACAAAAACTAAAAATTATTTCTAGGTATCCCTAAGAGTAGGGCTTCGGACCTCCAACCGCAGGCTGGCCGGGCCGAAGGGAGCCCGGGGGGCCGAAGGCCGCGCAGTACCGGCCAGCGAAGAAGCCTTCAGCTTCCGAGTTTGGGGTTTGGGGTTTGGGATGTGGGGTTTAGGGTTTAGGGTTTCAGATTTTTTGGGGGAGTTTGGGCGGGTTTGGGGTCTAGGACTTAAGGTTGAGGGTTTAGGGTTTAGAGTATTGGGGTTTAGGGTTAAGGGTTCAGGGTTGAGGGTTTGGGGTTTCAGATTTGTTGTGGGGCCTCTGGCTCAGCATAGCAATGAGGCAGCGATGCGTACGGCAAGCGCAGCACACAGTGACACCGTAAACGCCTAATTGCAAACCCCATTCTACAGGGACAAGGTGTGTCAGGAATTACCAAAAGCCTTCGAGGCACCAACGCACGTCTGCCCAGAGACTCCAATATCCCTTAATTGTGGAATGTACCATATAAACATCCTTAAACTATAAGGTGGTTCGTATTCTGATAGATAGTAGAAGCCCAAAAGTTGGAAACCCCAGAGCCTCAATCCCTAAGAGTCATGTATAGGGAATCCCAGCACTATTTGGCCTTTTATCCGGTTTCCAACTTTATGGCTTTTACTGTAAGCTATATTCCTTCATCAAGGGGTACTTGGAGGATCATGGGACTTAGTAAGTCAGGTTATAAGTACCTTAATTGGGGCTATAAGTAATTATAAGTATAGTTACCTTACTTATAACCCCAGTTACTAAATCCCATGATCCTTTAAGTAGACCCTAAACCCTAAACCCCATAGCTCCCTTTAAGGAGCCCCCTATAGATCCCTTTAAAGAGCCCTTTAAGTATTGGGATCTCTGGGTCTGCCCGGATCTCAGAGCTTTGCAGCCAGGGCACCGGTCCGAAGGACGAGGCAAATGGCAAGCTGTGCGTGGGCTGGTCAGGGGCCGAAGGATTTTCGAAAATAGGGGTTTAGGGTTTAGGGGTTTAGGGTTTAGGGTTTAGGGGTTTAGGGGTTTAGGGTTTAGGGGTTTAGGGGTTTAGGGGTTTAGGGGTTTAGGGTTTAGGGGTTTAGGGGTTTAGGGTTTAGGGCTTAGGGTTCGGGATTTAGAACGTCGGGTTTAGGGTTTAGGGTTCCAAATGGGAGGGTCCGAAAATATGAGCACCCCAATATATGGTACCCTATATGGTAGGATCTTTATGATAAGGACCGCAAAATACGGTACCCCTAATTGTCAGAAGTAGATTGCATCGGAGCGGAGTCCAGTCGATGCCTACAAACTTTGCAATCAATACCAGAGACTCCACTATCCCTTAACTAAGGAATGCTAAGGAATAGACCTAAGGGCTCCTTAAGGGTTCCTTACAGGGATCTATAGGGGTTCTATAAGGAGATCAAGGAATATACCTTAAAACTAACTCATAATAGGGATCCTACTATAATTTAAGGTACATTCCTTAACTAAGGGATATTGGAGCCCAGTCAAGGCCAGTCAAGAAGATGGCGAGCTCAGTCAGGGCCAAAAAGAAGTGGGAGTTTCTGAAACTTAGGGGTTCCCTTAAAGGGATCTATAAGGGATCTATACGGGTTCTACAAAGGGCTTAGGGTTTAGAGTTTCCGAAAATTAGGGAGTGTACGGTGTACCTTATTTTGGGGTCCTTATCATGAGGATCCTACTATTTAGGTACGATATTAGGGTTCCCTATTTTCGCAAACTCCCAAAATTCATCTTTGCAGCAAAGGGATCACTGGCCTGTGGGCTCCATGCTGCATGTACAGGTACTGGTGGAAACGACCACCTTGGAGTTCTTGCAGGGGAGCCCTGCATGTACGGTTGCTCTTGCATCGGAACTACCTGGTTGCTGGCCGAGTAATCCTAAATCGCGGCAGGCGGATCATCATATCTGGCCCCCACTGAAGAAACGAAAAGCCACTGGGAAAGAGCAGGCCGCTGTACTCAACAAGTTTGCTACGCTCTCTTCCCACAACGTGAAGAGCGGCATGGGCTCACATACACGCGGTACCATACAGTATGAAATTGACATCATGCCCGCTGAGGCGCGAGGTCCGAACAGAGACTCATCTCTCCGGCATCGAGAAGGGCTTGCAGCGCAGGCTCTTGGCAGTCCTTGGAATTTGCAGGCAGCCTGAAGCTAGAAACCGATGTGGTCGTGCCTACTCCTGAACGCCCTGAAACGTCGCAGTCCGGCGGCAACTGCGGGCCATGGGCTCTCCCAGGAACTATTGGAGTGATGTGGGTCGCTGGGGACGCACCGCCCCCAAAGTATGCAATGGTTTAAAGTACCCTTGGGCCCTTGGGCTGCCCTGGAACCAACGGAAGCCACTATCTGACAAACGTGCCCGACTCCAAAAACAAACTCAAATTGCAGTGGCAGGGGCGGAGGTTGTGCAGTTTGCTGGTACACCAGCTACGAAGATCTCGACGCTCAAAGGTTCAGTAGTGAATTGATCTGGGACAGCCAGGTGGTTCCTTGGGGCGCGACACAAAAACCCTTGCAGTTGAAAAAGCTGTGTACGCTGCTGCAATCGCCTTCAGCAATGATGGAGAGAGCTGGGTGCAATCAAAAGCCACTCCGTGCGGCACTAACACCACAATGTAAATCCAAAGCTTGGAAGCTAGAACGCACGTGTGTTGCAAGCACCCACATCTGCACAGAATAGGGTCTTCGAGTTGTCTGCAACATCTTCAGGCATGACCGTGCTAAGAGTCAACGAGGCAATCGACATAAGGCTCGCTTCTTTATTGTTGCATGCCCCCTACCTTACCTTTGGTTAGTAGGGAACGGAATAATGGTAGCAATAGTATAGTTGTAATTGTACCCCATTCCTCCATTCCCTACTAACCCATGGTAAGCTACACGGACAGAAGCCCAAGCTTCCCCACCACAGTGATCACGGTGCTTTGCACCAAGGAGACGCTGTTGTTGATCATGTTGGTTTCCTCGGCTAACCCAGAGACTCCAATATCCCTTAATTAAGGAATACTCCCTAAATCATATTAGGGATCCTACTATAGTTTAAGGGATATTCCTTAATTAAGGGATATTGGAGTCTCTTGGAACTTGCTTGACAGGTCTGCCTTAGCCTTAGCCGCGGTTTCTAGGACAAACAGCTCCATTCTTCTGCTACGTCCTTTCACCACCACTACGGCCGGTGCTAACTGCCGCTGTAGCTAGCTGCTGCAGCGACGCAGTTGGACAAATTCTGGGCTCGGCACTGTCACCATCAATGGCTCTTGCTCTTGCTGCTGCTGTTGCTGCTGCTGTTGCTGCTGCTGCTGCTGTTCTGTTTCTGCCGCTGCTGCTGCTACCACTACAGGAGGACGCACTTCCCCTACGTACTTCCTCCTGGTCGTCCCCCTTCTCCTCTGACCGCCGCGGTGGTGGCCACAATGACTCCAACGAAGATGATATAATCACCGAGCATCAATTGAGGTCACCGTTGGCTGCTGAAAGCTGACCTTGTGACGGCTTGCTGGAAAACAACTCGACAAAACCAGAAATCCAACTACGCTTCTACTGAATGGGTTCTCAGCTCTTCTGCCAAACTTCTAGGGTTTAGGGTTTAGGGTTTAGGGAGAGAGAGCAAGCCCCAAAGCTCGGACCAGGCCACCACGAAGATGGTGCGAACTTCGAGGGTCGGGAAGTTGCTCCCGGGCGGTGGCTGCACCAGTATCATGACGGTTAACCTCATCTTAACCAGCGCTCGGCGCTAGCTTGATGGGAGGCCAAAAGGGGGGCTTAAGATTCTTGGAGTAGGGATTCCTTAATATGAACCCTATTATGGGAACCCTAATTAATCCCTACTGAACCCCATAGGCTAAAACCCCTTTTGGCCCCCTATGATAGCTTCAGAGCGCAAAGACTGCAAGGAAGCGGCTGACTGCCGAGCCCGACCAGGTTGGCGGCGCTGAAGTTGTAGCGGGTCCTGCTCTTTCAACCACGAACTAAACTTAAGCTTTAAGTTACCATAATAGGGATCTATAGTAAATGATATGGTTGCCTTCCTTATTATAATATAGTGAGTTAACATGGTCCTTTCAAGGAAATTCTCAGTGTAGTTCTCCGCACCCGCGAGGCCCAGAAGCTGTGGGAAAGGACCGATGCGAAGCCCGAGGCTGGAAGCCTGCATGCTGGGCAAGCTTAGCAGCTTTGGCCTTTCCATGACGGTTTCGGGTTGAGGGTTCAGGGTTTTTTTTTAAGTGCAGTGACGTCCTTTCGCCCGCCTCACTCGAGGAGTGCACTAAAATGGACTTCTCATTTCAGGGTTTGGGGTTTAGGGTTTCAGGCTCGTGAAAAAGCAACTGGAAACGACGGATTGCACAAGATCGCCCCTGCAAGAAAATGGAAGCCGCCATCGGCCTAAACCCTGAACCCTAAATCCCAAACCCTAGACCCTAAAACCTAAATCCCAAACCCTAGACCCTAAACACCAAATCCTGAACCCTAAACCCCAAACCCCAAACGCTATACCCCAAACCCCAAACCCTAAGAACGTCTGCGTTTAATTGTCTGGTTAAGTCCAGTGCCTCGGACCGCCTCGATCTAGAACGATTTTCGGGTTTCCGGAAATTCGGGGATGCCGTAAAAAGGGATCTATAACGGTTCCTTAAAAGGGATCTATAAGGGTATATAACGGTTCCTTAAAAGGGATCTATAAGGGTTCCTTAAAAAGGGATCTATAAGGGTATATAACGGTTCCTTAAAAGGGATCTATAAGGGTTCCTTAAAAAGGGATCTATAAGGGTTCCTTAACAGGGGATCTATAAGGGTATATAAGGGTTCCTTAAAAAGGGATCTATAAGGGTTCCTTAAAAAGGGATCTATAAGGGTATATAACGGTTCCTTAAAAGGGATCTATAAGGGATCTATAAGGGTTCCTTAAAAGGGATCTATAATGGTTCCTTAAACGGCATCTACAAGGGTTCCTTAAAAGGGATCTAAAAGGGTTCCTTGAGCGGCGTCCCCCAAAAGGGATCCACAAGGGTTCCTTAAAAGGGATCTATAAGGGTTCCTTAAAAGGGACCTATAAGAGTTCCTTAAAAGGGATCTATAAGGCTTCTGTAAAGCATATTAAGGTCCCCCTGTTTTCGGAGACTCCCCTTTGGCGCCCCTTGCACCGACCGTCTTTGATGAGTGGGCTCGGCCTCCAGACCACGCGGTGCTGAGATGACAAACTCCGCCGAAGACGATGCATCAGCTAACCTGGGTTCTTGTTAGCGGGATTTAAAGTAATAAGTTGCCATAATAGGGATCTATGATCAAGAATATGGTTTCTTTATGATAAGACTTAAATTAAATCCTTTAACCCCTCATAGATCCCTTAAACGAACCCGTGTAGATCCTTATTATGGTGACTTAAATTGAATCTCTTAACCAGAGCCCAGCAACAGGAGTGTCGGTATGTCAGTCGACTCCAAGCGGACATCCAGAACACCTGCGCCAGTGTATAAAACGAGGGCATAAAGCCCAGTGGATGCAGAACTAAACCCCAGTATAAGGTCCGTAATAATTAGAATGCGGCTTTGGGAGCCAGTATTCTACAAATATAATAAGGAACCACCAAAATGATGCAGGCAATTATTGAGGCCCCTATAGTAGGCAGCTAGACCACCTTGCCTACCACTACATCCAAGATGTAGTCTTGCGGCAAGGTTTGTCCTGGGCGGGTCAGCCGGTAATGCTTTCTGCTTCAAGATTCGATTTATTGCCGGACAATGTCTGGCAAAGGGACGAGGGAGTTTCCGAATATTGCGGGTGCCTTCTTTTGCGGCCCTTATAATTCGGATCCTACTATTTAGGGGACTATATTCGGGTCCCACATTTTCGGAAACGCCCAAATTCGGATGCGACGGAATTCTGATTGCGATTGGATTTCAAGCGAGCGAGGAAGCCCCAAGGATGAAACAGCTCAATCTCAATGTCTAGACCCAAGAGTAACCTAGGAATAAAAAGGGTGCCCTTTTTGGTTTAAAGGGGCTTATAAGGGAACCTGAACCCTCAAAAAAGGGAATAAGGGCCTACTCTGGGTCCTAGATGTGCTGCCAGATGTCAAAAGTTTACAGGCTACTTAGGGTTCAGGGGTTTGGGGGTTTCGGGGTTTATATAGGGGTTTGGGGGTTTAGGGCTTTAGGGGTTTAAGGGTTTAGGGGGATTAGGGATGTGGGGTCGACCATATAGGGGAAAGAGTCCTAGTGAATTGTGACAAGGTGGTTGAAGCAGATTGCTGCATGGACGGTCACGAGGTCTGCAGTTCCCCAACAGATGAGGCTTTAGGGCTTCAGGGTTCCAGGGTTCCAGGGTTTAGGACTTCAGGGTTTAGGGTTTGGGGTGTCAGGGTTTAGGGTTTCAGGGTGTAGGCTTTAGATCTTGCCACCCTCAACCGGACGACAGGCGCTCAGAATTTTTGGAGGTGGCTGCCAGGCTCTATCTTGGCGCAGGGGACTCTGGTTCACAATCACTTCGCCCTTATCTTGAACACACAACATCCACTAATACCACATATATCCACCAACATCTTTGGCCACTTTGGGGAACCTGTAATAGGGGGGGTTCGGGGGTGTCTAGTCAGCAGCACAAGGAGATTCACCCTTCCACAACGTCTCACCCTGAGCCACGATGCCCTGCTGTGGCGGCTCCACAGTGAGCCGCACCTGCCAAGCAGCGGGCAACAACGAATGAGCTTAGCGTGTAGGGTCGGGCAAAGCCCGACCTGAATCATTAAGTCTCACATGGGAATTTCCCAAAATGAGGGACCGTAATCAAAATAAGGTACACCTAATTTCCGGAACCTCCCACATTTGAGTTGCTTGGAAGTGCGCCCCAGATATCCTCTAGGACCCCAAGCCCTAAACCGGAAGAACGGGATAACTAAGGGCGGATTCTCACTAATGTAGGGGCCTTAGTAATTTGAATAGGGCTTGGGGGTATATTCTACTCTAATTGTAATAAGGAGCCCCCCAAAATGGTCTTGGTAAGTATGTAGGCCCCAGGATCAGGCTGAAACAGGTGCCCTGTAAGGATCAATGCCTGGCTGAAGCGACTCCGCGGAACTTCAGGTGGAAGGAAACCGGTCGCGTCCGGAAGTGGCTGGACCAAGATTTGAACCTTAATAATTCGGTTCATGATATAAATCCTGCATTACCCATACTAAGGAATATACCATAATTCCTATAGTTTGGGGTACTTAAGGTAATGCAGGATTTATATCATCAACAGTTAGAATATGGCTTTGGGGTATAGTATACGATAGTATAATAAGGAACCCCCACAATGGTATAGGCGGTATAGGTAATTGTTGGGCTCCCCTTGGTTTTGGCACACAATACAATCCATTCGCAACCGCATCTCACAGTTGAGGTAGTCGCCGGAGCTTCTTCAATTCCGAAATGAGCCGTTGTCTACACCCTCATGTCTGCCTCCATAAGCCTTATGATAGTCTCCACATTTCACCCCATTTGTCCCCTCTTTGAGGAGTTCAGACGCTAGCTCAAATCGGATCCTACGCCCCGCCCACGTCTTGGCAGTACCCCACCATAACCCCAATTGGGGTCCCTTTTAGGGTACTTATAAGTGCACTTACTACCTACTTACTAAGTCCCCCGACCCTCCAAGTACCCCACTCCACTGCCCACATTCCCAAGACAGGCAGCAGGTTGGTCAACAGATGCAGTGGCAAAGGCGCTCTGCGTGACAGCACCCACCTCGATCCTGCACACAGGCTCTGGGGCAGACGAGATGGGCCCCGGAGTCAAGTCTTACTTTACGACTCCGAAAAGGAAGCCCCTACACAGTCCTATAGTTGCTGTATAACCCTTGCATAACCCGAAATCAGGGCGGGGCTAATGTGCCTCCATTTAGATGCATGGCCAGTGGTGGGAGGGGTGCTGAGCCACACAGCAGATTGGGAGCCGCAACAGCAGATCATGAGGTGGATTCGATTTTCACCGGGCACCGTGTCGAGCTGAAAAGACGAATTTTGCTGTGCCAGCGTTTGCGGGGAGCCATATACGTACGTCAGCTTCTTGGGCAAGTGCAAGTTTGACGCTGCTTGTGTGAAGCCACACAGCACCTTCGACAAGTTTATGCAGCTGCGGTTGTGAATGGAAAAGTTAAATAGCTTGCTTGGGTGTGCGTGCAGTAACTTGTGAGTCTTATTCAGCGGTGACAAGGTATGTGTTGAGCCAGGAACCGAACCCATGAGGTGGACATGCTGGTGACCGGGCTTGTCTGAAGCCAAACAAGTGTGACCCGCCCCTGTACTGTTGATGATATAAATCCTGCATTACCTTAAGGACCCTAAACTATGGGAATTATGGTATATTCCTTATTATGGATAATGCAGGATTTGTATCATCAACCGTAGAACCCCTTTCCATCCTGAAGATGGCTTCAACGTCGCTCGCGCTGCACAGGTCGCGTACATCCTCCTTGACACATACCACATGGGAGGTTTACAAAAATTGTGCTCCTTTTTCGGAGCCCTGAATGATGCCCTCAAAAGGGAACCCTAATTTGGGGAGCGTGGCAACTGTTTGCCCAACATGCATAGAGACTAGCGGAATCTGCCATCAAGATTGTCCTGCAGTGATACAGGGGCGCAACCACTTGCCAATCCTATTATGGGGGCTCCTTATTCTTATAGTAGCCCTTATAGTCATCATTAAGGCTTCTGTATCACATTAAGCCTAAGCAAAGTGACGATACAAACAGCCGAGGAGCAGCATCCACGACCAGCTGGTAATGGCGAACTAGAGGATCAAACCTGAATCGCTGAACTTAAATTAAGGTTTAGGTTTTAGGGGTTTAGGGGTTTAGGGTTTAGAGGTTTAGGGTTTAGGTCAAAGCCTGCACTCTGCCTATGCAGAGCTATCGTGCCTTACATTGTACAAGTACAGGCAAGGGCGCATCAGGGCTGAAGATCAGCCAAGATTCACTGGGGTAAAGGCAGCCACGAGGGGAACAAGCGTTTGGGAAACGTTCGCGACAGAAATATTCGTGGAGTTGTTCACGGTGTTGACGACAGGGCATATGGCCTGTCAACACAGCAGTACTTGCGCAGACTTCTAGATGTACTTCACCCCATGCTCAACTTGACAGTGTCCTGGACACTGACGATAATGTCAGAGAGTCGATCGTTGGTGTCCGGTGCGGTCGATAACCCGCTTTCTGACACCTGAGATGACGTGAGATAAGCTGAGTGCGCCCACTGCGCACACTCTGAGACCAACAGCTGCCTCTCTTCGGAATTCTCTGAGACTAAACTCACCGACTTGCAGTGCAGGGTCCAAAACTCAAGCAGATCTGGGACTTGGACTACTACTACTACTACTACTACTACTACTACTACTACTACTACTACTACTACTACTACTACTACTACTACTACTACTACTACTACTACTACTACTACTACTACTACTACTACTACTACTTTGCTCGCGAGCAGTCATGAGCGGAATTTCTTTTTTCTGCCGCATACATGGGAGTTTCTGAAAGTAGGGGACCCTCCTGTCATACCCCAACTAGTAAGATCCTGATTATAAGGATCCCGAAATAAGGTACCCCTAATTTTCGGAAACTCCCACATTGAGCTTAGGTGCCGAAGAGGGCTGTCAAGCGGGAGTTAAGGCTTCCTCTGTAGGCCTACGCGCACTTGCTTTAATGTTGAGTCTTCATGACTCCACATTTGCAAGACAAGCTGCAGTGGCAGTCACCACAGGGTCACCAATGGCACTCCCTGCATAACTACTCCAGACACACTTCGCAACACAGTTTAGCGAGCTTGTGAACTGATCTTCTACCCTAAAAACTGAACCTAAACCCTAAACCCCAAATATCAGCTGCCATGATAAAAAAATATACTGGCATCCAACGCAGAACTCATCCAGAGCATCGCCTCGACAAAGGACAGGCAGCACCCTGCCTGTACAAATCACCGTGTACTGCGTGAAAGGCGTAAGGCCAGTGATTCGAACCTTGGTACCCAGAGACTCCAATATCCCCTACTTAAGGAACATACCTTAAATTATCGTAGGATCCCGAATATGGTTTAAGGAATATTCCTTAATGAATGATATAGGGGCCTTAATAATTGGACAAGGGTTTGGGGGTATATTATATCATATTTGTCAGAAGGAACCCCCAAAATGGTATTGGCAATTAACTAAGAAACCCTCATATAAGGAACCCTAATAAAGGCCCAAGGTTTCTTAATCAGGTTCCTAGATCAATGCCCCAGCGGGCGGTTCATGTGGGTAGTTGTCAAAATTAGGGTCCTTTTTGGGTACCCTAAATATTAGGTGCCGTACTATACTTAAAGGCTCATGGGACTTAGTAAGCAAGGTTATAAGTAGGTTATAATTAGGATAACCCCACTTAGGGGACTTATAACCCCAATTATAACCTTCTGACTAAGTCCCATGGTCCTTCAAGTGTGCTTTGCTGCGACCGCTTCTCAGCCCACGACTTCGAGGAACTCACGACTTCCCGTGAAGTCGAGAGGGTCGGTCTGCTGCATTGTGCCTTCGGACATCAGAGCTTCAGAGCTTTTTTGGGTTTAGGGTCTAGGGTTGAGGGTTTAGGGTTTAGGGTTGAGGGTTTAGGGTTGCCAAGCCGCTCCCGGAAAGAACCAACTTGCCACAACCTTCCTGCAAAGTTGATGTAGGGACTCTGCTGCAGACCATGTACCGAAAAACTAGGCAGCATGGGCCCATGAGCCCTGTGCATAAAGGAAATGGCACTCAAGCTGCGTTCGACAGCCTCTCCTCACTTGCAAGCCTTCATTCACCTACTCAAACCCTGAAACAAAGTCGATGTGGGTGTTGGCATGGCAGTGTCTTTGCATGAGCTTCCCAGAATGAAGCTTCAGCAGAGTGGATCGAGAGTGAATCTCAACAGAACCGACAAGAACAATGAAAAGCTTTTTGCACGGAGTACCATTTGATGCCCTCCTCCCTGCATGGAAATATATAGAAATCTGCCAGGAAACTGGAGCCAACTAGAACTCCACAGGTTGTCGTCATTGGAATGCTCCAGATGACCCGAACCTGGCTTGATTTGACAGTCCCGCACTCTGCCTACACAACTCCGCATCGATAACAAAGCAGATCTCTTGTACAGCCCGGTGGCGGTGAGCGAAGTTACCGTGCTGCTGAACAAGCTCCTTGGGTTCGCAGGTCTGACACAGTGCAGCACTAGTAGTAGTAGTAGTAGTAGTAGTAGTCGTCGTCGTCGTCGTAGTAGTAGGAGTAGTAGTAGTAGTAGAAGTAGTAGTAGTAGTAGTAGTAGTAGTAGTAGTAGCAGTAGTAGTAGTAGTAGTCGTGGTAGTCGTAGTAGTCGTAGTAGTCGTAGTAGTAGTAGTAGTAGTAGTAGTAGCAGTAGTAGTAGTAGTAGTAGTAGTAGTAGTAGTAGTAGTAGTAGTAGTAGTAGTAGTAATAGTAGTAATAGTAGCAGCAGTAGTAGTAGTAGCTACTAGCCTGGGATGCTTGCTTCTACTGCCGCATCCATCTTTCAACGGTTGAACGACGACGTCCAAGACGCAAAAGACCTTTCGCCTGGAAGAAAGGCGACGGCGCTTCTCTTACACGGTACGGCCTGAGCCAGTAAGCCCCGCTGGCAACATGGACCATTTGCATCGACATGCGCCGAGAAAGGAAGGCTCAACGGAAAGCGATAGACATGGGGACTACTTCTGCCAATCACTTTTCCGTGGATCCCAGAGACTCCAATATCCCTTAATTAAGGAATATTCCTTAAATCATATTAGGGATCCTAGTATAATTTAAGGTATATTCCTTAATTACGGGATATTGGAGTCTCTGGGATTCTAGGCCGGCCCAAAATTGTGGTTGGCGGCTTCGTGAGGTGAGAAGAAAACTTCCGGCTCAGAGTATGGCGCGAACCCCATTGCCACTGTCAGCCCCTCCCCTAAAACGGTCATGCCTGGGGCCTGTGATACTGGCGTATGGGTATGAACTGCACAAGTTTCAGAGATGTAAAAGGGCGGGGACCCAGCCCGTTTTTCTTCAAGAGCTCGTGCTTCAAAGCCAGGCCCTTCCAACTTGGGAGAGAATGCTCCAGACCAGCAAAAGAGGAATGGCAGATGTTGTTAGGGTTTAGGGTTTAGGGCTTCCATTTTTTGCCGCAGTGACATGCGCGGCTTGGTTTCCTGGCTAACCAGCACCCAAGCATCCCTTTGCGACCAAAGCATCAGAGTGCCGCTGGGTATGGGCGGCCAATAGATGAAGCTCCACTCGGTCCTGGTGAGGTATACGAGGCATTTGTTCTACGGCAAAACGTCCTTGCCGGCCTTGGCGAAGGACGGCTGGGAGCCAGCTGCGTCTGCAGAAACCCGGCCTGCCCAGTCATGAAGCGGAGGGTTTAGGGTTTAGGGGTTTAGGGTGGGGATGTCGAATGGCAGGAAGAAGCGACTGGTTGGCTGAATCACTGACCGAAGCAAGACAGAATGGTCCAACGAAACTCCATGACCCAACCGTCCCTTAACGCACAGCCAGAGAAACTGGGAGGTTGCCACAGCTTGAAACAGCTCAGCACTTTCAAAGTCCACCCTGGAGTTGTCCACGTTAACCCGCCTCCATGAGCGCAATGTAGGGGCAACCCGTCAGCGGGCGGAGCAGGGATCCAAACTGAGCCATGAGCACACGGGAGCTCACCAGCTCCACCTGAAGGCGGCGTTAATATGGGAGTTTCCGAAAATAGGGGACCCTAACACAGCACCCTAAATTGTAGGATACTTATTATCAATAAGGACTCCAGAATACTGTACCCCTAATTTTCGGAAACACCTATTTCTACCCGGGTTAACTTACTGGTGGTTGGTAAGGATCGAAGGCATGGGGCATAGGGATTATTATCATAGGGGCTGATGCAAGGACTACAATAGGGATCCAACCTCTCCTTTCCCTAGTAACCACCAATAAATTTAGAATGACTCCCAAGAGCTGTCCCCCTTGAGTCACGGGCTTGCATGTTCGCTTGTGTGAGGCATAGGGCGGCGCAGTCTTCCGCAGAGCCCTGAAGCAAGGCGAAGTGGGAGACTGAGAGGGATGTGCGGAATCGAGTGAATCGCTGTTCCGTTTGACTGCGCGTTATCTGCTCCCCAGTTGAAACAATGATGTCTGACGGACATGTATGGACATGTATCTTGCAGCTCCATCGTGACATGTAACAAGCTCAAGCTCTTCTTCCCAGAAAAAAAGCCTAAGAGGCCGCAATGCGGGCTGAGGGCGCAGTTGCAGATGCCAGGATCTTCGGGCGTTGCGCTTGGCAACAGCATTGGACACAAACTTAACCTGAGGTGCGCACAGCTCTGCAAGCCTTCATCCTGCCTTGCCCGACATCTTTGCAGTACCAAGACGGGGCTGCTATAAGGGCCTAATATGACCATATTACCAATACTATCTAACTGTTTCTGAGTGGGGGCAGTATCCAACCCAAGGCCCTTAAACAAAGGCCTAAACCCAAACACCTAAACCCTAAACCGAATACCCCAGGGCCCTTAAACAAAAGCCTGAACCCAAACCCCTAAACCCTAAACCCTGAACCGAATACCCCAGGGCCCTTAAACAAAAGCCTGAACCCAAACCCCTAAACCCTAAACCCTAAACCCTAAACCGAATACCCCAAGGCCCTTAAAGAAAAGCCTTGCTTACCATCCTTCAGCTTGAGCCACGTGGTGGTCGGATCCCCGAGCTTAAGGTCCACCTCGAAGATGACGATGAGCCTGCGTTTAGGGTTTAGGATCTAGTGTTTAGGGTTTAGGGTTTAGGGTTTAGGATTTAGGGTTTAAGGCTTCGGATCTAGGATTTAGGGTTTAGAGCTCCGGATGTAGGATTTAGGGTTTATGATTTAGGGCTTAGGGCTTTAAGTTTAGATGCCAGCTCTGATATTTACAGCTGAAGGTTGGACTATTGTTGTGATCGTTACTGTGATTGTTATTATTATTACTATTAGTGTTATTGTTATAATTACTATTTTCTCCTTTTACTACTACCTTCTGGCATTATAGATACGACCATTGCCACAAATACAAAAATCATTACGGTTATAATTTCTCGCAGTATTGCACTCGCAGAGAGCAGTGGAGGGTGGCAACTGCAAGCAATCATGTATCAAAACATTCTCCAGCTTCTATAGGTGTTTAAACTCTCGGAAGATGTAAAAGCTTCATGAATAGCGGGACACGGCTTGACAGCTTGCAACTATCTTTCAGACGCTGCACTTGGATGTTCATAAACTTCCTCTGAAATTTCATACATGCTGCTGCAATGGTAGACATGGCTTCTTGGATTTCGTAAATGCCGACTGGAACTTCATGAATCGCTTCCGGTCCATATTGGCCCAAAGCACAGAGCATGGAGCCCCACTTACAGAGGCTGGCGGATTCAGTAAACCATGAATCACAGACAAGCCACTCCATTCTGCAAGCCCTCCGGAAGCCTCTGTGCCCTCTTGGCTGTCTGGTGCTTAGTAGGGAATGGGGGGGACTGTTACTGGAGATTATATAGGGACGACTACAAGGATCCATTCCGCCATTCCCTACTTAAAGGCTCATGGGACTTAGTAAGTGAGGTTATAAGTAGGTTATAATTAGGGTAACCCCACTTAGGGGACTTGTAACCCCAATTATAACCTACTTACTAAGTCCCATGATCCTTTAAGTACTAAGAACCACACAGCCTTGGGGGCCGCACCTCGTTGGCGGCTCTGAGGGTGAGATGAAGCCATTGGGGTCCAGGAAGGACGGCGCCTGGACCTGTTAGGGTTTACTGTAGGGTTTAAGGGTTTAGGATTGTTGACATTTGTTGACAGAGATGGGACTCCTGTAGCATTTCGAAGTAACTACCATGCGCTTGAACAGGTATTGCATCAGAATCGTCTGCAAACCAGCACGTGCTGGGTCTGCTGCGGCTGGCACCAAGTCCGTCCGGATAGCCTCCTCCGGCAACAAAGGCAAGTGCTGGTCTCAGGAAAGGCAAACTCACCCTAACGAATCCTGCGGGGGTTGCTCCTCGGTCAGTCCCCAAGGTGAGGCCAAGGGCGCGCCGTTCGTACAGAGCTCTCTGGCCGAGAAGGTGTACGCCGTGTCCTGGCATGCTACAACTGTTGATGATATGAATCCTGCATTACCTTAAGGACCCTTAACTATGGGAATTATGGTCTTTTCCTTATTATGGGAAATGCAGGATTTATATCATCAACCGAAGTACTATAGGGGCCTTCACAATTAGACTAGGGTTTTGGGGCCCATTATACTATAATTACAATGAGGAACCTCCAAGATAGTATAGGTAGGTATTGGGGCCCGTTATAGTAGCAGCTTAGCAGGCAGAATGTTGGGCTTTGGATTCAGGATACTGAGCACAGCCTGCCAAAGTGTTGAGAAGACTGATAATGATAATGGTACTAGTAGCAATGGCAATTTTGGCATAACAATCAATAACAACAAAATAGTCGTTCTGGGTTTGCCACCGCAAGGCTCAGGGCTTGGGAATGCAGGAGCTGCATTCGTGAAAGCAGGCAGAACATCTCCGGGAACTGGAAAAGCCACCTTGCAACGCGACCCGCCACCGGGCCCTAAATGTAGGTATTCCTAATCTCAGGTCTTAAGCCCAAGAAAGCTATGGACCACGCCCTAAAACTAAAACCATAAACCCTGGACCCTGACAGGGCCTGGACCAGATTGGAAATGGTGCAGCTGGGACCGAGCCGTACGGCAAGGGAGCCGCAGGTGGCCGGCCTCGCAAAGAGCTGGCACTTGCTGAAGAAGGTCACGAAAGGGCGTAGGGTTCAATGTGCTGCAGTTGTGAGTCGATTGACTTTAAGCAGGGTGCATGATACAAGAGCTGTTGATAAAGATGTTGAACTCTTCTGACATTCTGCGATGACGCTGCTCTCACACACGGTAGCATCAGAATTTAAGATCGGTTTATTAGTACGCATGAGCTCATCGCCACAGCAGCAAGGGTGGCAGCCAGCTTCAGGGCAGCTATCCGGGACTTGGCCTAAACTGCTGCTCCCCGAAAGGGGCGGAATGTATCCAGGGACCTACGGTACACAGGGACCCGTGATCTAAGGAATTTGTGGAGACCCCCATCTGTCGTAAGTTCCGGACGCCAGTGTCCACGTCGTAGCGCTCAGCTCCTTGCGGCCAACTCTACCCTAAACCCTAAAGATACAATTCGAGGGCCAATCGGACGGTCCCGGTACATGAGCTCGAACCGGTCAAAGACGCAGTCCCCGGGTGACCTCGTGACAAAGACAACATGGGGGCCGAAGTTTACGCGTGCAACGCAAAGCCACGAAGAGCCTTCATATGGGAGTTTCCGATATGTATTAGGGTCCCTATTTTCGGAAGCTCCCATAGTGAGTGTGGGCCACATTCGACCCAGGCTTGACTAAAGACCTGGGAAGCAGAGGTTCACAATAGCAGCAGCACCTGACTGCACGAAGACCTTGCTATTCATTAGATGATTACTGTCATTATCATTCTTCCCATTAATATAGGGGCCTCAATAACTAGAATAGGGTTTTGGTGTATATTACACTATACATATAATAAGGAGCCCCCAAAATAGTACAGGTGACTATTTCGGCCCCTATATTAATCCTGGTGTTGCTGGAATTACTTTAATTAATTGCGACGATTACCATTGCGTGGCGAACGAAATCCACGAGGCCCGGACCCAGCGATGAACCCCACAGTGATGCTGGTTGCAGTGCGGCTCGTGTTGCCTTTGAACCCGGCGGGTCTCGCTCATAACAAGTAGGGTGTAAGGTTTCGGGTTTAGGGTCTATAGGGTTTAGGGTTTGGGGTTTCGGGTTTAGGATTTAGGTTCTCTCCTGCTTCACAAACCCCAAATGCAAGGGAACAGCACCTACATCCGGCATTGTCCAAGGAATTTCTTGCCAAATCACGAAGCCCTGAGTCCGCTTTTGCGGCATCGTTCCTCCAACCCACTTTTAGAAGCCCAGCAACGGATCAGCAATGGAGGAGATGCCGGTCGCAAGCAATTGCCTGAACGCTGGAAGCGCAGGCAAGCACAATCTTGACTCTGTTGCTGGTCCAGGCAGATTTCACAGTAGGATTGTGTGCTACACTTTCCTTGTGCCATGCACTATTCCACGAGCTAGCCGTGCCGCCCAAATATGAGTCTTCCAAGCTAATATTGGGCCTTTGGGGCATCACGTTGAGCTGATGGAGAATCCTCTGTCATAGGGACGTTTAGAGGGGGTAGGGGGAGGGGGGTAGGGACTTTACTTCCTTAAATAGGCCTTATAAATTCCGGATTAGAGGTATAACCCCCCTCCCCCTACCCCCCTCAGGGTCCCCATGACTCTAGCACATCGCGTCAACCTTACCGCGCCTTCCTCTGCAATATCTGCAATCACCCTCATCACAGTTACCTCCTGACAACCGCCCGTTTTCTACAATGTCAACTGAGCTGTGGAGTTGGAGGCCTGACCTAAACCCTAAACCCTAAAACCTAAAACCTAAACCTTAAACCCTAAACCTCCACAGCTTCAGGCGACAAGAGCTCAAACCTGACAATCTGAGGTGGGAGCCAGCGTAAGCCGTGCGGAAGGCTGGGAAGGCAATCCAATCACTGCTCGCCGGGGCCGATGTACAAATCCTTTCATGTTTGGGCTCACTTGGAGGATCATGGGACTTAGTAAGTAAGGTTGTAAGTAGGTTACTATTAGGATAACCCCACTTAGGGGACTTATAAGCCCAATTATAACCTACTTACTAAGTCCCATGATCCTTTAAGCAGTCTCTTCCTCCATCCTTGCTTCAGAGGTTTGGTTGCAAGAGCTGGTGGGGAGCTGTTGGCAAGCACGGCACTACAGGGATCATTTGTTACACTTTCAGCCGTAGGCATTGGGTGGGAGCGTTTGACCTACACCGCTACAACCCGGTCTTCAACTCACGCCCCTAAACCCTAAACCCTAAACCAACCGTTTCCAAGCAAGCAGCGCTCGTACCCGAGCGTTGTAGGCCGTGTCGCATTGAAGGTTTATGGCCTGGCAGGCGGTCGTAGTTTGAACCATTCGTGTAAGCAGCGGTGTTCTTACAAGAAGGCCATGCGTGTTTCCTTCAACACGGCCAGCTTTTGCACATCGCACCCTTCAAACCGAGTCTAGCGAACAGTGGACCGTTTGCAATTTCAGCCTTGCCCAGCTGGCTCGTTGCGCAGTCCCCTCTTCAACAGGACTTGACTTACCAAACATGAGCAAAAGCTCCAGTCAACTCCTTTGACGGAAGAGAGGCTCTCTTCATTCAACAACCGGGCCCAAAAAAGTTCAAATTTTCCAAGATAGAGCTAATATATGAGGCCAAAATGCTTAAAGATCCCCCGTTCACTATCTAAGAAGGAGTTCAATCACGTCTTCCTTGAACTTCTTGGAAGGGTCTTGGGAGCCCCCACATGTACTCAGGGCCGCACCGTACAAGTCGTGACCGTTGGATCGATGAGGTCTAGGCACCCCTCCGGCTTGGCCCAGACCTTAACCAGCAAAATGTAGGGTTCTTTTTAGAGCTCCTTTTTGATGCCTGCCAGGTAATGGGCACACGTCAAGGCCATCAGGCAAAATGTAGGGTTTAGGGCTTGGGGTTTAGGCAAGAGGCAACTGCATGCGCCTGAACGCAAACAGCGGCAGGTCTAGATACCCAAAACGGTTCTTAGTAGGGAGTGGGGCAATGGATTGTGGAGACCATCATTGGGGATTATATAGGGACTACTACAGGGATCCAGTCCCCGATTCCCTACGAAGCACCAGGGAGCTTGGAGGATCATGGGACTTAGTAAGTAAGGTTATAAATACCTTAATTGGGGTTATAAGTCATTATAAGTATAGTTACCTTTTTTTTTAACCCCAGTTACTAAGTCCCATGATCCTTTAAGAGCCGAGGCTCGCTTTCGCTCTGGATCTGAATTTCAACCAACCAGGATTGGAAGACGCAGTCTGAGCCTGGGTTGTAGTTTTGGGGTTCTGAAAAGTATTAGGGTTTAGGGGTTAGGGGTTTAGGGTTTAGGGTTGTAGTTTTGGGGCTCTGAAAAGTATTTACGAATAGGTACCTCTATAGGAACCATAAGGGAAATTAAAAAGTTTCCCAGATTGCCACCTAGGAGCTGATGTTAGGGCTGCCCGCTGAGCCCACACCTGCCAAATTTCGTCAGAAGCAGCGCGTGCGTCATGGCTTGCCGCCCTAACCCTAAACCTTAAAACCCTAAACCCTAAACCAAACCCTCAACCCCAAACTCTAAACCCTGATCCTCAAACCCTAACCAATGCCAGCCTGGAACCCACTCGAGCGTGACGCGCTGACCAGAGTCGGTCGGCACCTGCACCTGACCAAAGACACTCGCAACCACCCTCCCCCAAACTTGAGCAATGCAGGGGCCTGAATGATTAGAATACAGTAAACCCCATAAAGTTGGAAACCGGATTAAGGCCAAATGGAGCTGGGATACCCTATACATTACTCTTAAGGATTGAGGCTACTGGGTTTCCAACTTTTTGGCTTCTACTGTAGGGTGTTCGGCTCCGCAAGGCACCTTCAAGCTCATGCCTTCAAGGCTAGCAAGGCATCTAGTTCCACCTGGCAGAACCGCGACCAAAACAGCACAACTCCTCCGCAAGCCGAAGCAGAGTTTGCAGTGTTGGTGCCCTAGAAGTTTCTAAACAGATAGGTAGTTGTTAGAATTAGGGTCCCTTTTGGGGTCTTTATTATAATACGGCACCTACTATTTAGGGTACCCGAAAAACCTACTATTTAGGGTACCCAAAAAGGGACCCCTATTTCGAGGACTACCCAGATGTCAACATTGCCAGAGGAGGCACTGTCCCAGAGACCGGCGTCGCCTCCCGCCTGCGGCATTTTGCCAGGGACTTCTTCGGAGAGTTCTTAATTCTCGTCCTTTGCTCGGCCATCTGGGTTCTTGCTAAGGGATTTAATTTAAGTTATAATAACAAAGAAAATATATCATTAACCATAGATCCCTATTATAGTACCTTAAAGCTTTAACCCTAAACCCTTAGAGGAGCCCTTATGGATCCCTTAAAGGACCCCTTATAGATCCCTATTATGGTAACTTAACTAAATTCCTTAACACCAACCCAGCCTCGGCAATGTGGTTGCTGGCTGGCTCGGCGAGGAGTAGTTGCTCGACGCCCTGCAGCTGTGTTTAGGGTTTAGGGGTTTAGGGTTTAGGGTTTTGGGTTTAGAGGTTTAGGGGTTTAGGGGTTTAGGGTTTAGGGTCTAGGGTTTAGGGTTTTGGGTTTACTTGGAGGTTCATGGGTAGTTGTAAGTGGGGCTATGAGTGAGGTAATCATAATTATAATCCATATTGGGGCACTTATAACCCCACTTGTGACTGCCCATGAACCTCCAAGTAGGGTTCAACAAGCTGTCGGCTAACACCTCGCTTTACCATGTGAAGAACATTGATGCATTGATGCATTGATGCTGCTAGCCTCTCCCTACATTGAGCCGAAATCTAATCTCCGAGTATACCCTTTACTAAAATTTATGACAGTCTCCTACTTAAAGGACCATGGGACTTAGTAAGTAGGTTATAATTGGGGTTATAAGTCCCCTAAGTGGGGTTATCCTAATCATAACCTACTTATAACCTTACTTACTAAGTCCCATGAGCCTTTAAGTACATAATCCTTTCTAGAACACCCTCTAAAGACTCAGACGATAGCTCACATTGAATCTCAGCCTCTTTTTAAGGAGCCCTTAAAGGAAGCCTTTAAACGGAGCCCTTAAAAGGATTCCTTTTAAGGAAACCTTACACGCACCCTTGGAGGAACCCTTAAGGGTTCTGTAAGGGTTCCTTTTTAAGGGCTCCTTTTTAAGGGCTCCTTTAAGGGGGTCTACGCGGGGGTTCCTTTAAGGGCTCCTTTCAAGGCATCCTGAAGGAGCCCTTAAATTTACTTGGAGGGTCGGGGGACTTAGTAAGTAGACTTATAAGGAACTTATAAGTACCATAACCCCAATTAGGGTCCCTTTTAGGGTACTTATAATTTACCATATTCCAACTTTCTGGAGTTCCCTTTAGACCTAGAGCCTACCTTAACCCGGAATAACCTACCCATTTTAAGGACTTATATAAAGAAACCACAATAAGGAACCCTAAACAGGTAGGTTGGAGTTCCCTTTAAAGGGGCCTGAGGGCCGCCAGCTTCCGGAAGCATTGCGTAAAGCCGCCAGCCACCGGTATCAAGCATCGATCGTCTGGGCCATCCTCCGCTGGGACTTAGGGCTTTGCGGTTTTTGGGCTTTTTAGGGACTTAAAGTTTTAGGGCTTCAGGATATTAGGGTTTAGAGTTTGGGGGTTTAGGGTTGAGGGTTTTAGGGCTTGAGGGTTTTACGGCTTTAGGGTTTTAGGGTTTTCGGGTTTCGGGCTTGAGGGTTTTAGGGTTGGGGGTTTTAGGGTTTAGAGTTTTAGGATTTTAGTGTCATTTGCCAGAGACCCCAAAACCCCTTCAAAAGGGATCCTATCAGGGTTCCTTCAAGGGTTCCGATGAGGGATCTATGGTTTAAAGGGATTCCAAAACCCCTTGATTCAGGAATATAGCTTTAGATTATCATACGGATCCTTATTAAACTTCAAAGTATATTCCTTAATCAAAAGGTTTTAGAGTCTTTGGATTTTGCCAAGCTTTAAAACAAAGCGTTTGCCTTGACGACAGGATTACTAACAACTACTATGAAGAAGGCACTGGGGAAACTATGATGTTGGTACTGAATACTGCTATAAGTCTTACTATTATCGTTATGATCACATTTACTATTACTAATATAAAGTCTAGTACTTGTGTATAGTCCGAATGCACAGGTCAGGATGGACAGGTTTGAGAGATAACGCTTCATGGCAGAGCCCAGGCAAATAGAAACATAACAACAGCAGCAATCATAGTAATAACCATCATAAAAACGTTAATCATATGAACAAGAACCATCATAAAACTATTTGTTGACAATAATGGCTATATCAAGGGTGATAACAAGACTGACAATGGGAACAATGACCCAGAAGCTGTCTGGAAGCAGCTCCGCAATGCAAGAAGCACTAGCTCAGGTTTGTCAGGACAGGATGGGTAAGGTGCTGTAAGTTTAGCAGGGCCCCTGCCGGCGGAAGCTACCACTCATCAGGGTCCTCCGGGCTGCAAGGCACACGCTGAGCGGTCGGTGTCTCGCTACAGTCGTCACAAAGCACGGCGACCCGCGCCGTGTAGGTGGTCCAAGACTGTAGGCCTCCACAGTTCCATGTGAAAGCATAAAACTTGTGATGATACTTATAGTACTTGAAGGATCATGGGACTTAGTAAGTAGGTTATAATTGGGGTTATAAGTCCCCTAAGTGGGGTTATCCTAATTATACCCTGCTTATGACCTTACTTACTAAGTCCCATGAGCCTTATAGTAGTCATGACAAGGCATGGTCCAAGTTGCCATGGTAGTACTTGTAAACCTTCTCATGCTAATAATGATACATGGGGTTGAAGCCAGTTGAAAGCCCCGAAGCTGCTGAGAAAGAGGCAAGGCCCTCGCAGGGCAACGAAGTCTTGGAATCTCGGAACTAACCCACAAGACAACTATTGCTCACTATTATTGCTGGTCTTTGTTATTACACTTACTGGCAATAAGACGAACGAGACGTGACTCCACACAACGGCTAAAGGTAAGGTGTGGGTGGGGCCTGTGGGTTGCGTAAAGCAAGAGGAATGGGGGGGCAGTGCTTTAGGGATTAGGGTTAAGTTTAGGGTTTGGGGATTAGGGTTTAGTTTAGTGTTTAGGGTTGGTTGCTGTTCCTGCCGCAATCCGCCTGTTGCCACACAGCTAGTGGTGGCCAAGTCCGTGATGGAGTTGCAGCCAGCCGGTGCCACAAAATCCTTGGATGCAACACATACTGTCGGGATCACTCATACGTCAAGAGTTCGGAAGTGTTGAGAATCTGATGAAGCCCAAGCTCAACGAAGAAAATGAGGAGACAGATAAACTGATTTTCGATATCTGGGATGGCTTGCAGATCTGCCCCCTGCAATTCATGGGCACTTGCTGAGTGGGGCCGGCAACTTTGTTCAACTTTCACTTTGCGAGCGCCTGTCATGTCTTGATCTGATGCAAGGGCCGGGACAACTCTAGCTTGAGGCAGCCTGAACAGCAGTTGGCTGAGCAACGTGATCCAACTGTAAATTTCGGTATGTTTTTCCACATGGCACGCCTGCCGCTGGCTGAAAGGATGAACTATGCAGACACTTGTGCTGCAGGACGAAGCTGTGTTTGTTGCCCGATGTTCCGAGCATGTCACCTCACCGTTTCTAATCTGGTACTCAGGAGGAGCTGGGCATTCTGGGGCTTTGAAGCTTAACTGCCCCGAATGAGATGCGAAATGTCAAACGTGCCTCCTACTTAAAGGCTCATGGGACTTAGTAAGGAAGGTTATAAGTAGGTTATAATTAGGATAACCCCACTTATAACCCCAATTATAACCTACTTACTAAGTCCCATGATCCTTTAAGTAGCCCAGAACCCTAAACCCTAAACCTTGCCTCCTGGCCCTGGAAGTGGCCAGGTGTCGCTGCCGTTCGCTGCAATCTCCACAACTTTCCGCTGGAAGATGCAGTCCTGGTCGGGTGAAGCGTTGCCATAAGGGGTTCCTTTAAGGGGATCTATAAGGGTACCTTTAAGGGGCTCCTTTAAGGGACCTATAGGATTTTAGGGTTTCGGGTTGATGATTTGACTCCCTGCATGACCCATCAGAAGGAATATCCCATAATTCCCATAGTTTAGGGTCCTTAAGGTAATGCAGGATTGTTATCATCAACCGTAGGTGAGCCGGACCGGACAGAGTCCTCTGTAACTTGCACAGACGGTAGGTAGACGATTTCAATGGCTAGGTTGGCCCTTTAAAGCCTCTGAAAAATATTCGTAAATAGGGTCCTATTAAGCCAAATAAAGGAAATATAAAATGTTACATGGTGTGGATCGCTCTTTGTGGCTTTTGCTTGCTTATCAAGTCAAAGAATCCTCAAATATCATCGTCCCCTGAAGCCCCAATATAGTCCCTTATTAGGATCCTACGGTAGTCCTTGTACAACGTCAATCTAACCCTAGCTTAGTCAGGGGCTGACATATTGTTGAGCATCTGGTGCACGTCGAAGTATGAAATATTCCTTACAATGGCCAAAAACACTTTGGGAACACTTGAAGGGGGGTTGAATGGTGCAGGGGGACGGAATTAGTTCTGTCATCAGGAACCAATGCGTACGAAAGGATGGAAGGATACGAGCTATGAAACCTGGACTGCCCAAAACATGAACATGGCGCAAGAAGGCAAAGCTGGAAGAGCCTTTACTAACCAGTGGTTTTGGGGGTTCCCTTGGCGCTTTAGCTCTATTCAATACGGATTGTCATCATCCCTGGCTCCTTAGCTCCCCCAATACCAATGGTTAGTTTGCACACAAGACACCGCAGATGCAATTCGACCCTGCACAACGCCAAGGTCTCCTCCAGTGGGCTGTTGGTCCAGGATACCTGGGCAGTGCTATGGAAGGCCAAGTGACAGTAAAGAAAATATAGGGGCCTAAACAGGTACCACTACCATCTTAGGGTTTCTTATTATATTTGTGGTATAATGGGCAGGCATGGCTTTCCCTTGGGATCTCTTCGAAGACACGAAGACGTAGGAACCTGACGTGAGAATAAGAAATGACGGCTTGTCCAAACCAAGACAACCGTGGAAGCTGATGTTTAAGCTGACACAGGAGATTCTGCAGCCCGAAAAGAGGCTCAGCAACCATAGTCGGCAGGGATTGGACCACAAAAGTTAGATGCTTCTTGCTCCGGACACTTCCAAAACTGGTCTTGACACAAAGTCCACTGCTTCCATGCAGTGGCCGAGACACTGCCACATAAATACCAAGTCTGCTGCGATTCACACCCAGGGCATAGCCAAGTTGCTTGCAAACTGGTTTGGGTGGCTTCGCCAAACACGACTGCAGTCGGCGCAACAGCCGGAATCCTGCAACAGTGACTAGTGACTTGGCTTGGAGGTTGTTTGGGATTTGTTGTTTGGGATTTGCTTTTCACCTGCTATGAGCCAAATCGCCCTAATTCCATCCAATACTAGTACTTGGAGGATCATGGGACTTAGTAAGTAAGGTTGTAAGTACCTTATTGGGGTTATAAGTCATTATGAGTATAGTTACCTTTATTTATAACCCCAGTTACTAAGTCCCATGATCCTTTAAGTACGGCCACCGCATTAACAAACGAAACTTCCGGACTGATTGTGCGGTCTTTGTAAATGGGGTTTAGGGTTGAGGGTTTGGGGTTTAGGGTTTAGGGGTTTAGGGTTTAGGATTTAGGGGTTTAGGGTTTAGTTTGTAAATGGCGTGAGTCGAGAGCAAAGCGGGTCCGGGCCACCCAGGTCGCGCCACTGATAGCGCTGAGAGGCGAGCTAGTTGCAGGCCTTCCGGTCTGGACAGGGAACTGTGCGCCTAGCACTTCGGGTTGATTTGTATAGTTTTTAGAATTCAAGGCTCCGAGTACGATCAGATTTTGTGAGCAGCTTCTCTGAAGCCGAGTAGGTAACAGCATCCCCGTAGCCATGTTGCTGCAGCCAACCACTCTAGCGGAAGCTTACCTGACATGTCGCATAGGGGGCGTCTTGCAAGTTGGGCTCTCCCTAAACCCTAAACCCTCAACCCCAAACCCTAAACCCTAAACCCCTGAACCCTAAGCCCTAAACAGCTGGGAGTCCCAAAAATGGCTGGTCCTAAATCTGCCAAGCACATGCTAAGGCCGGGGCAGAGAACTGACTTCCTGGACCGCAAAGCTGTACATCCCCCAGCTGAGACCTGTCGCAGGAGGTTTCTGAGACAATCTAGGGTTTATTGAAGGTTTAAGGGTTTAGGGTTTAGGGGTTTAGGGTTTAGGGGTTTAGCAGTCCACATATTGCGAACACGTGACTACATATCAGCAGCCCCCAAGAGAATCCCCAAAAAAGTGCCTTTGTAAGATCCATTAGGGTCCTTGCATGGCCCCTACTGGTCACCAAACCCTAAACCCTAAACCCTCATAGCAAATGTCTCCCTGTAACAGATTCTCACCGGCGTTGGCTGCGGGAGGCCAAAAACCAAGATCAACTGGTCGTGGCATTTGAGAGGAAGCCCAGCCCAAACTCTAAACCCTAAACCGTAAACCCCTAACCGTGATAATGACCAAAAGCAAACTCCAGAAATAAATCTGCTTTTCTTGGCGTGGTACTTTTTGGCGAGACCAGAAGCTGAGACATTCTGATCACTGCATGCGTTTCTGTTGCTCAGGATGAGGCCCAAAACCCTAAACCCAAGAACCTATACCCTGAACCCTGGACCCTAAACCCTCTACTCTAAACCCTAAGTCCCACCCATAAGTCAAAAGCCACGAGTAGGGCGAGCGTCTCCGACCCACAAGTCTTGTCAGTTAGGGACTAGGAATGAGGGCTTTGGGTCATGTAGAAGCCTCACTCACTTTAAAGGGGGTCTATAAGGGGTACTATAAGGGATCTATAAGGGTAATTACCATAATATAGGGGCCTTAATAATTCGAATAGGGTTTTGGGGTGAATTCTGGCATAATCATAATAAGGAGCACCCACAATAGCCTTGGTAATTATTTCGGCCCCTATAGTAATGTAGTCATGCGTGAAGGCGGATAAGCACGACACGGGCACCTGGGGTGTTTCTTTGCGTAATCCTCACGTATTTAGTGGAATGCTCCAGGACAGCTGCCCCCCACAAACTCCAATATCCCTTAGTAAAGGAATATTGCTTAAATCATATTAGGGATCCTACTATAGTTTAAGGTATATTCCTTCTTTAAGGGATATTCCTTAAATCATATTAGGGATCCTATTATAGTTTGAGGTGTATTCCTTGATTAAGGGATATTGGAGTCTCTGCGCCACTGCCTGCAATTTCGCAGGTGGTCACTGTGCGATCAAGCAGTCCTCCGGAACAGAGGCCGTTTCAGTTGGGTTCAGGGTTTGCGGTTTAGGGTTTAGGGTTTCGGGAGGATTTACGGAGTACGGTTTAGGGTTTAGGGATTAGGGTTTATTGATAAAGACTTAGGGACGAGGGTTTAGGGTTTAGGGATTTCAGCAAGCACAAGCTTACCTTTGGTTAGTAAGGAATGGAAGAATGGTAGTAATAGTAGTTATAATTGTACCCCATTCCTCGATTCCCTACTAACCAAAGGTAAGCAAGGCCTGGAGTCCTAGAACTCAGATCGCACAGGTTTAAGGTTTAGGGTTTAGGGTTTAGGGTTTAGGGGTTAGGGTTTAGGCTTTAGGGTTTAGGGTTTAGGGGTTTGCTCAGGAATCCCTCTACTCCTTGGCAAACGCCGTCGATCTGCCTCTCTGCGTCTGGGTCGGGTTGTCCGCCGGCCTTATAACTTAAAGGCTCATGGGACTTAGTAAGTAAGGTTATAAGTAGGTCATAATTAGGATAACCCCACTTAGGGGGCTTATAACCCCAATTATAACCTACTTACTAAGTCCCATGGTCCTTCAAATACTGTGCTGGCATCAGGTTTTTTGCTTTTTTGAACTCCTTTTTCCGTCCGCCCAGGTGCTAACGGTCAGAAGGCATCAGGGTTTAGGGCCTAGGGTTTAGGGCTTAATTCTGCAAGCACCACATAGCTGTGACCTGCCGACATAGTAAACAAAGTTGAACTGCAGACTAGAAGCCCCCAACTCCAGCAGTCTGAAGCCTGGAACTCCAAAAACTTGGTGCCTGCAATTTCTAAGCGTCGCGCAAATGTGGTCTTGTAGAGCTCCACGTTCCACGTGATAAACTGGGAATCCTGTCTGCTGCCGGACAAAAGCAAACAAGGAGAGTTTGTTTCGGCAGAGAGACCATCACAGGTACAGGTTCTTCTTGGTAGTTTTGTCTCATTTATCCCCAAACCCTAAACCCTAAACCCTAAACCCTAAACCCTAAAACCCTAAACCCTAAACCCTAAAACCCTGAACTGAATGGTTTGAATCAACAGAAAGCGGATCTACAGGGTTCCGATGACCACAAGAAAGAACTTACGCCGAGAGGGTTGGAGCAGCAGTATATCCGCCCTACTTAAAGGATCATGGGACTTAGTAAGTAGGTTATAATTGGGGTTATAAGTCCCCTAAGTGGGGTTATCCTAATTATAAGCTACTTATAACCTTGTTTCTATCCCAACCGAAGGGCAAGATACTCAATTTTGAACCGCCACTGCAAGCTCGCAAGCAGGCCTCCTGCGACCCAGCTGTCCAGCTCATGTCCAACCTCTGCACTCCGTGAGCTTCCACGGCTACGCACATGTTTCTGAGCTGCTAGCTTCTAACACATGGGTGGTTGTCAATATTAGGGTCCCTTTTTGGGTCCTTCTTATAATAAGGCACCTAATATTTAGGGTACCCAACAAGGGACCAGAATTTTGACAACCACCCACGCGGGAACTCGCCTTTTCCAAAAGTGCTGAGACCGAGCCGGGGACCCCCCCATTGGAACAGAGACCCAAGTAAAGGGGACCCGTACTTTACTAAATCAGGCCAGCGCCGAAATGGAATGTACTTATATAGGGTTTAGGGTTTAGGGTTCAGCGCCGAAATGGAATGTAGGCTTACGATTACAGGACAAATCTTCTGCTTCTCCTCTTGCTGATTGCTGCTGTTCCTGCTGCTGGCGACGGCTACCCCTGCTTCCGCCTTGAAGCAACTACCTTGCTTACCAGTCTGGCTACCCTCCATAGATCTCACTCATACCTTTGGTGCAGACAACCGATTCTCATCTTCAACCTTTCTGCTGCTGTAACCAAAACAAGCGTGATGCTGATGGTTGTCATGACCATGATGAAGAGGACGATGCATGTAATAGCCGACGGATACTACCACTCACTGCTATGCTGGCGAGCGCCATAAGATGAGGACAAGCACTAGAGCCAGAAGAAAGGTAAGGCTGGAAGCAGATTCTGGGCTATCGGACGCCAAACAAACGCTCGCAACTAAGCTTGCTGCCGTCCTTCGGCTGGAGAAGTTGCGGCCTTGGCAGCTCGCTGATCACAGCGGCTTCTTTTGACCCTAAACCCTAAACCTTACTCAAAGGATCATGGGACTTAGTAAGTAGGATAAAACTGGGGTTATAAGTCCCCTAAGTGGGGTTATCCTAATTATAAGCTACTTATAGCCTTACTTACTAAGTCCCATGAGCCTTTAAGTACTCCAGAATCCACACAAAATGAGACTCTGGGGTCGTCTTGTCTGTACAGATGGCTCAGCCCGCGGCCAGGCTTGATGGCAGGGTGGCAGCTTGCAGGCAGTTCGGCCCAATGGTTACCTTGCTACATTGGGCTAAGGGTTGAAGGTGTAGTTCATTGTTTTAAACGGTTATCTTTCTATACTGAACTTGGAACCCTAGCAAAAATCATAATTTTAGCTGTTTCTTAGGGATTCGAATAACCAAACATTTAAAAAACATTTCCCAGTACCCCTATAAGTTTTAAGGTTTAGGAACGCCAGGTTTCAAGCTCGGCTTGGCACTCTTGGGAGGAATGGATACTTAAAGGATCACGGGACTTAGCAAGTAAGGTTATAAGTACCTTAATTAGGGTTATAAGTAATTACAAGTATAGTTACCTTATTTATATCCCCAGTTGCTAAGCTCATGGGACTTAGTAAGTAGGTTAGAATTGGGGTTATAAGTCCCCTAAGTGGGGTTAGCCTAATTATAAGCTACTTATAACCTTACTTACTAAGTTCCATGAGCCTTTAAGTATCCATTTGCATCCAGGTACTAAGGTGCTTCCTGCAATGGGCCGGCTCCATTCCGACGTCGACTCGTCATTCCAACAGAGCTGACGGACCTGATCAGAGACCAAGAATGCTCACAACTCTGAGGCCTGCCTTGCACCAGAAGAGCTGACAAAGCAGACCCACGGCTAAGTTCAGCCAGCCTGGATGATGTGAGCCGTTTGGCAGGGCAAGTTGATGATTGTACCTTGCTAGATGGTGCAAGGCTTAGGGCTTAGGGTTAGGTTTTAGGGGTTGTTGAGGGTTCTGCTGAGAGCCGGTCGGCTGCTTAATCCCGGGGCCACTAAAGCCTATGATGGAAAGCCGCATCTGCGCAATGACGCTTGAGTTTATGAAAAGTTGTAACAGTCGCCTTAGGCCGTAATAATTGCCAGTACTACTTTAGGGTTCCTTATTATCATTTTAGTATAGTGGGGCCCAAAACCCTGTTCTAATTATTAAGGTTCCTAAACAACGTCCCCCTTGCGCGTGGAAGCTGCAGGAAGGCTCGTCGAAGGAACTCAGGGACGTGCACGCAGGAGGGTCCTGTCACAAAAACTACTACTATAGGGGCCTTAATAATTAGAATGTGGTTTTGGGGTATATTATACTATGATTATAATAAGGATCCCTCAAAATAGTATAGGTAAGCATTAAGCAGAAAGATGGTTCCAGCAAGATCTCTACCAATCAGCATGCCAGCCATGATGACAAACCAGGAAGTGCTCGGGACATCTTCCCTTAAGCGTCCCCTGCATGTGATGCCGATGCCCTGCATAATGCCAGCTTGGACTATGGTCTTGATGGTCCAGGTCATGTTCCGCTTGAGTCTCAACGAAACCACATCCCATCACTTTCCAAGACTACAATCAAGGACACCTCGCAGAAACGAGCAACTATATTGATGTGGCCCTGCAGACCAAGCTGTCGGAGTTATCCGCACACGCTCCTAGAGACATGCGAAGTCCTTTGTCCATGCACCACTGGGATCGCGGATCTCAACTTGCCAGGCTCGAAAAGTGCAGTTTCCCTGGCAGGTTCGCACATTCTCCGAGAAGCCACGATTTCAGTCTTGGGTGGTGAGCAACGGTCGCAGTAGCATAAGCGGTAGCAGCAACAAACATTTGAGCAGCATGAGAAGAAGCATCGGTAGAAAATGGCGAGCAAAGCTTGACATGTGATTCTTTGAAGGAAGGCTCATCATTCATGTTGAGCATGCCATACAAGTCGGGTGTTGGGTGGGAGACAGGATGGACTACAAAAACCATGTCTGGATGTGTAGCCTTTCACATCTTGCATCACACAAGGCCCACAGTCCGCCCTCAGGGCTTGGTGTTTGGAGACATACAATGCATTCTTTACGTGGTGACCCAAAGTTCTCTAATTACTACGAGCATTTCATACGCATACGAACTATAGAGAGTTGTAGGGAAGAGGTTGGCAAGGTGGCAAAAACCATTACGCAGAAAGAGTGCTAAGCGAATGCACACAGCAAGTGTACTGCCATGTCAGCAAGCCTCATCCAGAATGTATCAATCCTAAACATTAACTAATCACAACAGTAATTGTAGCAATGTTGGAACCTGATTAAGAAACCCTGGGCCTATACCCCCAAAATAGTAGGATTCATAAAGGAACCCTAATAAAGACCCAGGATTTCTTAATCAGGCTCCTACATTCACAAGGATTGGCTGTCGAGCCGATCCCCTGCCTGCTGGCTCGATGCATTCCAGGATATCAGCAGTGAGCTGGACATGGGTTCCAGGACCGTCAAGTCCTTCCGCCCGGGTAATCTGGCATGATCCTACTGTTCAAGGGGAAAAGGAGGGACCCTCAATAGGGACCGCTACCCGATAATGGGCCATATAATGGGTATATAATAGCTATATTAAGGGTATATACCTAGGGGTCCTTATTAAGGGTCCCTCCTTTTACCCTTGGATAGTGCTACATTGTGAACATTTTCTTATCATGAATACTGTGTTACTATTGCTGTTAGTATCACGATGCTATTGTTACTTTGCGGCCATTACTAGATTGTGCTAGGATTGTTGTTGTACTACTATTTCTGTTGCATTCTTATCCTGATATTGAAAATCACCTCCAAGATATCTGGACTATATTATAATGAATACTTCACATGGGGTGGTTACAGAGGCAGTGACCTTCAGTTATCTGCTAGCTCCCTTCTGGCTTCGCCTTGTATGGTTTAAGGCTTATATGGCAAAGGGTTCAAGGCCATGCATTGCTGGCTCAGTCCTCAGGCATACCTGCTCGTATGTAAGGCACGCGGACCACGCTCAGGAAGATGTCGTAGATCATCAGCTCTGGAACTGTTGATGCCAGCTGAACTCCTCAGAAGCCGCTCGCCCTTGATTATACTGCCTCGCACCCAAAGATTCCAATATCCCTTAGTTAAGGAATATTCCTTAAATCATATTAGGGATCCTAGTATAATTTAAGGTATATTGCTTAATTATGGGATATTGGGGTCTCTGGGCAGATCGCTCAAACCCTGCTTCCAGCGTGCTCCTTAGCTCTGGCAGACCAAGTCACGAACATCGTATGTCGCTCCAGGTTCCAGACCTGATAAGCTGTGCGTGGCTCTTAACTTGCTGTGGTCGTTTCTCTCAGGTCACTTGAAGCCGGCCGTTTGTGTGGTCTGCGGGCGGGAATCCATTGGGGCTCTCATGTAAAAACTTCACGCGAGGTCTCGTCGCGCCTTTAGCCCTGACCCGGAAGACACTACACCTGAACCCGTTTCTTGGCAAAGGCACACCACACTTCGCAGGAGGTGAACGCAAAGTCTGAGCAGTGACCAACAAAGAACCAGTCATTGCCTGCAGTCACGGGTTCTGATGTCCACCGTTGCATGCTACAGCCTAGATCTGTGCATGTCAGAATCCGCCACGTGCCTCAGGTTCCTGAAATATTGGGGAAGGCTTCGACCACCCTGACCCCAAACCCCTACAGATCCTGTAAGGGGCCCTATAGATCCCTTTAAGGAACCCTATAGATCCCTTATAGAACCCTGCTCAAAAAAGACTGTCGAACTCCAGGTTTGCCGGTCCTTCCCCTTGCTTGCGCATGTCGACCCTCCACTCCCAGCCGTTGCCATCGTTGAGGAGATCCACGGACAGGTCTCCACCTCAATGCCAGCATCATTCACCCCCTGGTGCTTAGTAGGGAATGGGGGAATGGATCCGTATAGTAGTTCCTTTGTAGTCCCCATAACCCATTCCCCCATTCCCTACTAAGAACCAAACAGATCACCGCGCTTTGGGGCTATCAGATAAGGGTTTTGGGGGCTTTGATGTAGGAACCTGATTAAGAAACCTTGGGCCTTTATTGGGCTTCCTTTTATGAATCCTTTACCAGGCCCAAGGTTTCTTAATTCAGGTTCCTAACGTTGTTATCGTACCCTTATAGATCCCTTATCGTAACCCTTATAGACCCCTTTAAAGAGACCCTGAAAAAAGGCCCAAGGGCTTCTTAATTCAGGTTCCTAGATTAGGCCGTCATGCAGAGAGGAGACCCGCGAGCTGCTTCCAGATGCTCGGGCTCGAGCAACAGATGGGAGCTTTCGAAAATTAGGGGTCTACAAGGGTTCATTTAAAGGGATCTATAAGGGTTCTATAAAGGGTTTAGGGTTTAGAGTTTCCGAAAATTCGGGGTTTGGGGTCCTTCCAATGGGAATCCTACGGTTTAAGGTGCTATATTAGGGTCCCCTATTTTCGGAAACTCCCAGATGGCATGACTTGCTAGCAAGTTAGCACAGCACGTCCCTGCGCGTGCTGTCTGCTTATGTGTCTTCGTAGCACCAAAACATTGCTTGAGGCTGCAAAAGGAATGACGGATCCTCTTAGACCTGAGCTCGAGGTCAAGACCCAGTCAACATGATTTGATGCAAGCAAGGAAACCTCAGATTTGAAGCTATCTGGCTTTGCTACACTCCCCGGCTATATGGCCGTCACTATATAGGCGAGTGGCCGTCCCACTCAAGAACAACACCTCCGCCAGAGGGATTCCAAGGGCCACCTCCAGGGATGCCGAATAATTACCGTAGAGCCTGCACCAGTGACGTAATGGGGCACGGGGTATCTTCAATAGAATCGAGACCGAGACTGAACATGGAACTGACTCTGTTGAGAACCCGTTGCCACACGCCAGGGTGTTGACGAAGGTAACAGTAGCACTCGTTGTTGTTGTTGACGTCGTGTATGAAGTCCTTGTACGCGAAGTAGAAGTCCTTTCTACATGCACTCCCTCTACTGACTGGATTCAAGTCTCAATGCCGCCACTGACGATCCGTCATGCCACAAGTGCAGCAGAGGGTCGTCGCCGAGGTGGAGGTGGTTGAAACCGTGATCGTGGTGGTGGAACTCGTCGTGCTTGCTGAGGTGGTTGTGACAGTCCTAGTAGTGGTACTATGTGTGCGACTGGTTGTGGATGTTCCCGTCATTGATCGAGTTGATGTTGAGGTCACACTGGTAGTGACCTCGCGCCCGCCCAAGCCCGATGATGCTGGAGAGCTTGGGTATGCTTAACGTGACATGGCAACACGTACCTGTTGGTCATTGGATGATCCCTTGGCGTACAACAATTGACATCTAGGAGTTTCCGAAAATAGGGGACCCTAGTAGTACCCAGAATAGTAAGATCCTTATTATCAGGACCCCAAACTGAGGTACCCCTAATTCTCAGAAACTCCCATCTATCTCTCAGGAAACTCCCGCGCGACACATCCTGGCACTTCCTAAACTCCGAGGCTCGCGCTGTAGAAGACGTGGTGCTGGTGCTGGAACCTTGCTCTTTGCCAGATAATATAGGGGCCTTAATAATTAGAGTAGGGCTTTGGAGCCCATTTTATACATAGCTATAGTAAGGAACCCCAAAATAGTATAGGTAATTATTAGGGCCCCCCATATTAAACGAACCTAAGACCTGAATCCTCTGAGATTCTGAGATCCTGGCCTGCAACCCTAAACCCTAAACCCCCAATAGCCTCAATCCTTAAGAGTAATGTATAGAGACTCCCAGCACTATTTGGCCTTAATTCCGGTTTCCAACTTTATGGTGTTTACTGTAAACCATAAACGCCTAAACCCCAAAAGCCTAAAACCCTAAACCCCAGAACCCTTAATCCTCTTGGGATCCGTCTTCGGGAAGGGGTTTACTGTAAACAAATAGGGTTTAGGGTTTAGGGTTTAGGGTTTAGGGTTTAGGGTTTAGGGTTTAGGGTTTAGGGTTTAGGGTTTAGGGTTTAGGGTTTAGGGCTTGCCAGGTTGGAAAAGCCAGGAGGCTCGTCATCGTGCTGGAGGTTCCTGTCCTAAGCACAGCTTGAGATCAGGGTTCCTTTGAAAGGGGCCTATAGGCGCTTTTAGGGTTCCTTTTAACAGGGGCCTATAGGGGCTTTTAGGGTTCCCTGAGATTCCGTTTAAGCCATGAGAAAATCTCCAGCTCACGGAGGAGCAGCTATGTTAACAGCAGGCCAATACTGCAGAAACCACCCTTCCGGAGTTGCGAGCGGAAACAAGCCCATACTTCACCTGCCAGCCAGGCTTCAATGTGTTTGTCAGCGTTGTTATTGTTGAAGAGGTCATGGACCTGGCCAGATGCTTTCCCGCTCTGATTTATGTGAATGCCAACAAATGCACTCTTGACAGCCTTGCAACGGGATACACTTTGCTACATGCTTCCTGTATCTGCCCCTTGCTTCCTCTGTACAACGACTTGCCTGGAAGTTGTGGTGGCAGTTGCGGACGTGCTGGTTGACAGCGTTGAGCTGGTAGAAGATAGGGAGCTTGATGTGGAAGTTCCAGTTGTGGAGCTGCTTGTGCTGCTGCTGGTCGTGCCCGTTACACTGCTGGAGGTTGACGACGCTGATGTTGTGGACGTTTGCGTCGTTGTGGCCGTGGTGCTAGTGGTGGAGGTCTGTGTGAGAGATGTGGTTGATATTGTTGAGCTGCTCGATGTCAATGAAGTGGACGTCAATGAAGTGGACGACTCAGTTTCACAGCAGACTTTCAGGCAACATGACCGCAGCCATCACTTACTCTCCCATGCCTACCCCCACTCTCAGATTGCCGGCTGCGATACAGTGCTGGTGGAAGTCGAACTAGTGGTGACCGTCGAAGTTGCAGAAGTTGTGCTGCCGGTGCTTGTGGTGCTTGACATTGTTACAGTCCTTGGCTGGGTGAGAGCGCGTCTTGGGTGCAGGCGCTTATGTCTTGGCAACTGCAACATTTGTACCATGCCGGGCATCGTTGATGTCGTAGATGATAAAGAGGACGAGCTCGAGCTTGTAGTGCTTGTGGATGAGGTCGAGGTAGAAGATGTGATAGTGGAAGAACTCGACGAGGAGGTGCGTGTGGAGGATGTGCTGGTCGTTGAGGTCGCTGTTGAAGAGGAGCTGCTGGAAGTTGCACTGCTGCTGCTGGACGTGGTTGAAGACGTCACCGTGATCGTGGACTGCCAGGAGATAGCTCTGTGCATGGTGTGCTTTAGTTAGTGCAACTAGTAGCACCCAGAGCACCCAGATGCAACTCAGTCTCTCGAAAGCATTTGCGCACTGTACCGAACTTTCCACTGCGCCACGTGATTGCAACAGCCAATGCAGCCAAGGTGAAAGACAGTTGACCGTTGCGAATTTGACACCCAACACAGGAGCGACCTAGAGAAACACGAAAACACGAATTCAGCTTGGACTCAGTACTTGTAGCCGTTGTTGTGCTAGTGCTTGCCGTTGTAGAGGAGGTGGAAGACGCGGTCTCGGCAAGGCGCGACGTGCTGCATCATCGCAGGGGACATCGACTCTAAGCTCAGCTTACAAGGTCGCACATAGCTACTAGAAAGAAGATGCCGCCGTAGTTGCCACAGATGTGGCGGTGCTTGAAGTCGAAGTCACTGTGGTTTCGGATTGGGTGGATGTAAAACTTGTCGTGGTGACCTGCGTCCGCAAAGACTGGCAGCGTTGCGAAGCGCGCAGAAATCACAGCCTGCGGATCCTTGTGCAGCTAGGCTGCCGTTGCGGTGGTTGCTGTCGAGGTTGCGGAGGAGGTGGAAGAGGTGGTTTTGCCTTTACAGTGCAGCTGTTAACACTAAGACGGCATGTTCCTGCAGGCCATTGAGGACTGCTGCCCAAGCACTTGTGGAGCTTCTCGTGCTGGTTTCTGTGGTGCTAGACGTCCCACTCGTAGATGTGGCAGTACCTGCACATGACCAGCAAAAGTCCGGCAAGGAAGCCAAATGAGGGCAGGGCTTTGTGTACTACAGGGGCCCTAATAATCAGAATAGGGTTCTGGGGTATCTTATGCTGTAGTCATATTAAGCAACCGCACAATAGTAGTGGTAAATATTGATGCCAATATAGTATCCGGATCCATGTCTTCAGCTGACCAGTCGTCGGCACTGTGCCCACCAAGGCACTAGAGATGGAAGTGGTTGTTGTCGAGGTTCCGGTGGCCTCAGCACTCCAAAAACCAAAGGTTTAGGGCTTAGGAAGTTTAGGGATGCAAATTCGGACTGACCCGACGAACTTTGGAAAATCTGTCGTCCAGTCTCATCACAACCCTCTCTACACAAGGATGCACGCTTCGAGGAATGCAAGCAAGTGTAAAAATCTATAGCTAAGCGCATTCACTTAGAGCGTTTCTACTATGCTTTGGAATCTTCCTTCCCTCCCACGGATTGCCCGCCCGTTGCCGTCGGCCGGCTGTGGTAGAGCTTGACGTGCCGGACGTCCTCGGTGGGTGCTCACTGCAAGCATTTTGAACATTTCTCAAAACAATATGAGGACCCTAGGTATGCCTGGGGAGCCTCAAAGAGGTTATGGGAATTCTCATTAAGGACTCACGGGATTGTTTTGAGCTGAGCTTCAGTTCAGGTTGCAAGGGACAAGTATGCCTTACAACTGAGCTGTATGTTAACAGCTACAGCATTTTTCCCATCAAGCTCTTTTCTATGTCAGGTCATGAGCCCGGTAAAGAGCGTGGAGGAACAGGAAGGCACTGTCGAGTGTGATGCGCCATCTTCTGAGTAGGGGGGTTGTTGAAACTGAGAACCAAAGAACAAGATTTCTGACATTTCTCTATGAGCTCTCAGAGCATAACTACATAGAGTACATCTCAAACAAATTGTGCTCCCACATATAACTTGAATGCAAAAGAAGCTACATTGGCATGTGAGGGCAAAAAACCTCTAAATTGTGTTTAATAGGGGCCTTTTTTTTAATTCCTGGTTTTGGGGCCCATTATACTATAATGATATTAAGGAACCCCATAATATTATCGGTAATTATTAAGGCCCCTATATTATTCAACTTCATAGCCTGCAGGGCTAGCAAAGGCTCGTCGAGGTTGACGTAGTGCCGGTTGCTGAGAGTGAAGTCGTAGAAGTGATACTCAAGGTCCTGCTTGGGGAAAATAGGGTTTAGGGTTTAGGGGAGTTTCCGACAATAGGGGACCCTAATATAGCACCCTGAGTAGTCGGATCCCTATTGTAAGGACCCCAAGACAAGGTACCCCTAATTTTCGGACACTCCCAATTAGGAAATGTCAGAGGGTCCAGGGACAAGTTTCCAGAGACTCCGATATCCCATAATTAAGCAATATGCCTTTAAATTATAGTAGGATCCCTACTATATGATTTCAGGAAAATTCCTTACTTAAGAGTCTCTGGGTTGTAAGGTCATGCCTGAAGCACCAGAGTCAAACCATGCAGCGGAAAGGTTTCACAGCTTTGCCTGGAAGTTGAGGAAGTTGACAGACTGGATGTCGTGAGGGTCGTGGTAGAGCTGCGCGTGAGTGTCCTCAGGCTTGCAACAGATCCTTGGAACCACTGCAGTCACTTGAAATTTTCGATGGGGGCCTGGATATGGGTGAGTTTGTGTCCCCCGGTGGTCGTGGACCTATGTGGGAGCTTCCGAAGATTCGGGGTACCGTATTTTGGGGGTCCTTATGACAAGGATCCTACTATTTAGGGTACGATATCAGGATCCCCTCTTTTCGGGAACTCCCATTTGGAACCCTAAACCCTAAGCTCTAAATCCTAAAGCCGAAGCCCTCTTTTCGAAAATCCTTCTGCCCATAAGATCCCATGTCTACGTTTGCAATCAGTACTTAAAGGATCATGGGACTTAGTAAGTAGGTTATAGTTGGGGTTATAAGTCCCCTATAAGTGGGGTTATCCTAATTGTAACCTACTTATAACCTTACTTACTAAGTCCCATGAGCCTTTCAGTAGACCCTAAACCCTGAACCCCATAGATCCCTTTAGGGAACCCTATAGATCCCTTTAAGGAGCCCTTTAAGAACCCTTACTAAGTCCCATGAGCCTTTAAGTAGTCAGCCTGCATCCTCCCGAGCTGAATCCTCCCAGCCTCAAGAAGCACTTGAAGGATCATGGGACTTAGTAAGGGTTCTTAAAGGGGCTCCATTAAAGGGATCTATAGGGATCCTTAAAGGGATCTATGGGGTTTAGGGTTTAGGGTCTACTTCGAGGATCATGGGACTTAGTAAGTAAGGCTATAAGTACCTTCATTGGGGCTATAAGTAGTTGTAAGTATTGTTACCCTATTCATAACTCATAACCCCAGTTACTAAGTCCCATGATCCTGCAGCGTGAGCGCCAGCCCCGGCCTCGTTGTAGAAGAGGATGTGAACGTGCTGATGGTACTGCTGGTGCTCGTCGCAGAAGACTTGGGGTCAAAGCAGATGTGTGCTTGAAGCTTTGTAGCTAAGGCCGACTTGCAACAGAGAAGCTTCGCGAAGAGAGGGCTACGAGAGCTCTGCCCGGAGCACGGTCTGGAAACTTTGCATCCATACTCTGTGGAGAGGTTGCAGTGTGCCAACAATGTGGTGTCGCTGTTGCGCATGTGCTTCAAGCTTTCTTGGGAGACACATGGGTAGTTGACAACCACCCACATGATGAGGAAGGTTGCATCATAGGGATCCTTAGGGGTGTAGGGGGGGAGGGGTGTAGGGGACTATATTTCCTTAAATAGGCCGTATTAGTCGTTATTATGGGCCTTAAGGCCCCCTACCCCCCCTCCCCCTACACCCCTAAGGATCCCTATGATTGCAGGAGTGGTCCGAGGAGCCGCTTCTAGCAAGCTCTACCTCGCGTACTGTAAAGGCCTGAATAGTTAGACTAGGGTTTTGGAGCCCGTTACACTGCACTTCTCATAAGGATCCCCCCAAAATAGTGTTGGTAATTATTTAAGTTCCTGTATTGCAACACGTGTACGCCATTGATGGGAGGCCAAAAGGGGGGTGAAAGATTCTGGGGGTAGGGATTCCTTAATATGAACCCTATTCTGGGAACCCTAATCCCTACTAAACCCCCATAGGCTAAAACCCCTTTTGGCCTCCTATGAGTCCCTGATGGATCCCTTTGAAGGAACCCCTATGGATCCCTTTGAAGGAACCCTAGGGATCCCTAAACCCCCATAGGCTAAAACCCCTTTTGGCCTCCTATGAGCCATGGGACAGTCACTGTAAACGTTGTCACCGTTGCTGTGGTAGTGAGGAGCTCGCAGCTGCCTCGACCAGAAGGGGCGGCTTGCAATGTGAAGGCACACTGCTCTTGCGCTCTTAGACTGCGAGAAGGTTCTGTTTTTGTTGAGCCCTCTTTTCCAACTGCCCAAAGGTTAGCTGAAATGCCAAATTGCGAGAAGGTTCAGGGTTTAGGGAGAAGGCTGGTGCTTTGGAGTAGGATGCTGAGGAGCAGTGCGGCTTGGCATGCACAGCCTCAGCATGGGTCCAGAGTCATCCAGAATCCAAACCTCTGTCCTTTGCATTTCGATCCGAGCGAAAGAACCAAATCTCATGGCCACTACTAATACCCTAAACCCTAAACCCTAAACCGTAAAATGGAGTCGGGCAAGTTGCCTGTGTCATTGGAGATTACACATACCTCCCCGATCTGGCACTCCACTCCTGGCACAGCTCTGGCTTCTTCCGTTGGCAGTACTTGGGAGTTTCCCAAAATAGGGGACCCTAATATAGTACCCTAAATAATAGGATCCTTATTGTAAGGACCCCAAAATAAGGTACCTCCAATTTTCGGAAACTCCCACTTTGCTTTAGAGCTTTAAGGTTTCACTATGCTTTCTCACAAATCTTGCTTTGATGGCCCATCCAACTCTCGCAAGCAGTTTGTGAGGTTGCGTCCTCCGCAGCTGCAGGGATACGCACCGCTGCCCACTTCATATTGCCTCCCTTCAGTAAAAGCACCTGAGATTCGATGCAGCCTACCACAAGCTGCTGCGCCCAAGCCCCCATACACTTCCAGAGGAGCGAGCCCTGTAAAAATGTTGGTGCAGCGGGGCTGTTTCTATATACCAAGAAAGCTGCACGTAGGTGGTTTATAAGTAGGGTTATAATTGGGGTAACTCCATTTAGGGTACTTATAACTCTACTTATAACCTACTTACTCAGTTCCCTGCCCCTCCAAGTAGACCCTAAACCCGAAACCCCATAGATCCCTTTAAGGAACCCTATAGATCCGGTTAAGCAAAGCCTCAAACCAATTGCATCAGAGCAACAGGACCGCACCGGCACCTGCGGGTTTTCCGTAACCAGGTTCTGGGCTAAGATGGCGGCATCTTCCGTACCTGCATGGACACGTCAGGGCTTAGGGTTTAAGGCTTGTAAGCGTTCAGGACGGTCAAGGTTTGGGGTTTTAAGTTTAATAGGACAAGGGTCAGGGACTCCCCTCAATTAGTTGACGTTGCCGAGCGCCGACATAAGAGAAGGGGACTGTTGTGAATTTGCCTAGTCAGAGAAGCCTTGCAATCAAAATGCTTATGAAATCAGATAGGCCAAATGCAGATTTGGTAGCTTCCAAATGCCCGTCACCCTACAGATCTCCAAGTTTGCTACTTCGATGCTGCCCGTCATGGGTCCCACAAAAAAGGGGGTCTGACCGGCTTACTGTTAATTCGTACTATGAGTATTACTATTACTGTTATTGCTATTACTGCTACTCCCGAGCCATCTCTTTGGTTTTCAAAAAGCGACAGCGGCGGTATGCGAAACTCGAAACCGAGGACTCCAGCAGGTTCACAACACAAGGCCTAATTCCTGGCCGTATCAAGTTGATGCTTGCGGCTTCTTCAGGGGCTCACTGAAACACAAAGTGACTGATCCTTCGCAACTTTTATCATAGGGACCCTTAGGGGGGTAAGGGGGAGGGGGGTAGGGGGCTATACTTCCTTAAATAGGCCTTACTAGGTCCTTAGTATGGGCATTAAGGTCCCCTACCCCCCTTGCCGCTACCCCTCTACGGGTCCCCATGATTTTAGCAATAATCAAGGACCTTTGACTTGTGATTTTCGAAGGGCTGCCATCCTGCATGCTTTAGCACCAGATCCTTGAGACGCTCATAGGGTTTAGGGTTTTGGGTTTAGGGCTCAAGCTCGTATCTGTCCTTCCACATTCAAGTGCAACTGTCACAAAACACCAAGACAGGTTGGACAAGTGGTCAGGGCAGGTTCCCTTTGCTGACACAGCGTGAAACTCGCCTCCGAAGCTTTAACATGTTCACACCGGGTGCCTCCACTGCAGGCGTCGATCATGCAGTCCTCAAGCCAAGAGACTCCAAGGTCCCTTAACTAAGGAATATTTCTTAAATCATAGTAGGGATTCCACTATAATTTAAGGTATATTCCTTAATTCAGGGATAATGGAGTCTCCAGCAGGCTGGCTCTATCAACTTACGGACTTATCACTACTTAAAGGATCATGGGACTTAGTAAGTTGGTTATAACTGGGGTTATAAGTCCCCAAAGTGGGGCTATCATAATTATAACCTACTTATAACCTTACTTACTAAGTCCCATGAGCCTTTCAGTAGTGCTTGCTGGCCCCTGTGCAAAACACTACTGTGAAGAAGCGATTACTATACCGGGTTTTAATAATGAGAATAATTACGGTTTCGGGGCCCAGTACAGCATAAATGTAACAAGGAGCCCCCCAAAATCGTATAGGTAACTATTTAGGCCCCTATATTACTTGTAGCATGGTTGGAGGGGCATTGTACTACGGTTGATGATATAAATGCTGCATTACCCATACTAAGGGGTATACCATAATTCCCATAGTTTAGGGCCCTTAAGGTAATGCAGGATTTATACCATCACCCTAAACCCCAAACCCTACAACCCTATAGATTCCCTTAAAGGAACCCCTTAAAGGTACCCTGATAGATCCCCTTAAAGGAACCCAAGAGGGATTTATATCACCAACCATAGGTAAGCTAGGCAAGACCTAAACCCTGAACCCTAAATCCTAAGCCCTAGACCCTACTTAAAGGCTCATGGGACTTAGTAAGTAAGGTTATAAGTAGCTTAGAATTAGGATAACCGCACTTACGGGACTTATAACCCCAGTTATAACCTACTTACTAAGTCCCATGATCCTTTTAAGTAAACCCTAAGCCCGGCGAGGGGGGCCTTGAGCATGTCATCCAGCTCATCCTGCTCGGTGGTGGTCACAAGCCCGGGCTCCTCGAAGCGGCGGCAGGGCTTAGGATTTTAGAGTTTAGGGATTTACGGTTTAGGATTTACTGTTTAGGGTTTAGGACTTCGGGTTTCGGGAATAGAATTTAGAGTTGAGGGTTTAGGGTTTAGGATCTAGGGTTTAGGGTTTAGGACTTAGGGTTTAGGGCTTAGGAATTAGAGTTGAGGGTTTAGGATTTAGGATTTAGGGTTTTAGGATTTAGGGTTTGGGGTTTAGGACTTGGGTTTAGGGCTTAGGGTTTAGGGTTTAGGGTTTTACGGTTTAGGGCTTCAGGGTTTAGGTCTTAGGGTTTAGGGCTTAGGATTTAGAGTTGAGGGTTTAGGGTTTAGGATCTAGGGTTTAGGGTTTAGGACTTAGGGTTTAGGGCTCAGGATTTAGAGTTGAGGGTTTAGGGTAGGATTTAGGGTGTCTGTAGGGTTTAGGATTTAGGGTTTACTGCTTAGGGTTTAGGACTTAGGGTTTAAGATTTAGGATGTAGGGTTCAGGGAGGGGTGTCTGCAAGCCGGGTCCTCATAGCGTGGGGGCCAGGCGGCACCCTGGAGGAAGTCATTGGCTTTGCAGAGGGCCTCTGCCTGCCTCAAACATCCAACAGATGTGAACAACTCTTCGCTGCTGGCATCTGCTGGAGCTACTACAGGCTCAGCCGTCTCGGCTTACAACTAGCAACTAGCATTTTCTCCTGGCAAAACCAACCCTACACCCTAAACCCTGTGCCATAAACCTTAAACCCGAAACCCGATGCTCTAAACCTGAAACCCCAAACCCGAAACCCAACTGCCATGATCCGCTGCAAAGCCAGATTTTCCAGAGGATCTAGAAAGTAGATCCCCTAATTTGGGGCCCTATACTACTAAGGGTACTATATAGGAACCCCCATTAAGGGATCTACTTTTTGGATCCTTCCGGGGGTCTGGGGAAGAAGGGGCTCCGTTAAGGGTTTTATATTTATCACCCCTTATACTACAACCCTTATGGTAACCTATATAGTAACCCTTGAAGGAACCCGTAAAGGAAACCCAAATGTCATGATCCGCTCCAAAGCCAGATCGAGAGTCTGAAGAGTGACATCGCCGGTTGTGCAGGCTTCGATGGCTGTCGTGCCAGGCTCCTTAGCTGAGTTGGGACATAGGGTTTAGGGTTTAGGGTATAGGGTTTCGGGTATGGGGTTTAGGGTTAGAGTTTAGGGTTTGGGGCTTAGGGTATAGGGTTGAGGGTTGAGGGGTTAGGGTTTAGGGTTTGGGTGTTTCGGGGGCATGGGACCCTACCCCAGGAGTGCGGAAAGGTTTTCCGAGGTCTCCCAGGCACTGCTCTGACTTCAATGTGTCCGACTTAAGGCTTAGGGTACTGGGTTTGGGTTTAGGGTTTAGGGTTTAGGGTTTAGGGTTTAGGGTTTAGGGTTTAGGGCATTGGCTTCTGTGTCCAAATTCAGCCGCTTCGAAAAGCTTTGACGAAGGCTCACAGGGCCCGTGCAGTACCTGCACCAATCTGAGCTAAGAGAAGTTTAGAGGGAGCTTCCTTTCAAGCTTATGCACGACAAACAGAAACCATGTGTCAGGAATTAGCTCTGGTAGCATCTTTATGATTAAATCCTGCGATGCCCCTCCCAAGAGATCGAGAAGTATCGGGCAAAGAGTGGTTGTTTTGGCTTGCAACCTTCCTCCCAGCCCTCTCCATGAGAGAAAACTGATGCGACTCTGACACCCAACAAGCGAGCATCATGTTCTGCTGGTGCACATGCCGCAACGCTTGATCCCTTTGCCAAGCTATGAATACTTAAAGGATCAAGGGACTTAGTAACTGGGGGTATAAATAAGGTAAGTATACTTACAATTCCTTAAAACTCCAATCAAGGTACTTATAAACTTACTTGCTAAGTCCCACGACCCTCCAAGTAAGCTTCTTGCAGTCCGGAGGCCGGGTTGTCCGGCTTCCGACAAACACCTCAGAGTCAAGCAAATGCGCACACGCCTACAATCAGGTGCATGAAACGTTTCTTTCTTTGTGTGGTGTCACTGCGCGATGCCAACATTCATATCCAAAGCCCAGCACAGAAATCACCCACCGCGCAGAAACAGATTCATACGCAAGAATCAAAGCTTGGAGCCTACAGCGTCGACTTCCGCCGAGGTACACATGACGTCATTCAGTGACTTTCCGGAGCACCGTTCTCCAGCCTGCCCAGAAAAGGTGCAAAAGGTGTGGCATGCATCTGGGATTTTCCGAAAATTAGGGGTATTTGGGGGGGTCCTTAGAATAGGATCCTACTATTTAGGGTACTCTATTAGGGGGGGTCTCCGATTTTCGGAAACTCCCATATCCCTCGCTGTTTAAGCCAGACGTGTGCAAGCGCAAACTATGTTTGCCAGTGCCGCATGTCGCGCCTGGTATTTGCCCTCGTCAAGTACGCAAGGCCGTCTATAATTGTCCTTGGCGTCCACCTGAAGTCTGCATTTCACATTGGACATCAGACTCTGGGCTTCAGATCTGCTTTCCCCAAAGACTCCAATATCCCTTAATGAAGGAATATACCTTAAATTATAGTGGGATCCCTGATATGATTTAAGGAATACTCTTTCATTAGTTCCTTCATTAAGGGACATTGAATCTCTAAGTCTGAGTTGAAATGGGAAAGGGTGGGAAAGGGCTGGTTACACTCGGCATCCTTGTGCTTGCCCATACGGCTCTGCGTTTCCGGGTGGGCTACGTTGTGGTAAAAGATGTGCGCGAAGGCTTGAAGAAGCGGCAAAAAATTCTGTGCCTGGTGAAGAGCGCGCCTAAACGACAAAACCCTAAACCCTGAACCCTAAACCATGCCAGCGTGGCTTGAACCTTCTACAACGCTTCACTCAAGAACCGTGGAAAGGCTCGGGCCAAGCATGATTTGGGAGTTTCCGAAAAAAGGGGACCCTAATAGACTAATAGAATACCTTGAATAATATGATCCTTATGATAAGGACCCCAAAAAAAGGTACCCGAATTTTCGGAAACTCCCATTGTATTCACGACACCGAAGTACAGGTTGGTTATAAGCGGTCATGCTGAACAAAAAATCCCATTAAAAAATAAAAAAAAAACACCATCATCTGGGTGGTCGTCAAAATTAGGCTCCCTTTTTTGGGTACCTACCTACTATAATGCGGCACCTAATAAGTAAAGGGCACCCAAAAAGCGATCCTGATTTTGAGAACCACCCATCTATCCATCTCAGGCATGTCTGTGCACTCATGAGGGTGCTCATTGGCGAATTGAACTCCACGAGGCCCTACTTCATGCTGAGCCCTTCCCGCACCCAGGTGTCTTGATCCTAAACACACGTCACTTCACCGCGCGCAACATGTTTGCAAGAGGCCCCGGCACAGATGCTGCCCCTCTCCTGGCAGAAGTCATTGCAGCTCTTTCTCCTTCTCAGAACCTCAGAGGAAGTATTGAAACATTTGCTTCTGCCTGGAACTCCGAAGTATTCAAGAGCAAGCACCACAGCCTTGGACTCACCGAGCCAACGTTGCACATCAGCTTAATGCTGGCAAGGCTCAGCATAGACCACGCAATTCTGACTATTGTCCTGCAACCAGGTCTATGGACTTGAAGGCTGTTTGGCTGCCTCTTAGATGGGAGTTTCCGAAAAGAGGGGACCCTAATATAGTACCCTGAATAGTAGGATTCATATGATTGTCCCTAAATTTCGGAAACTCTCAAGTGCGGTGTGTGCTTCACAAGTCTCATCCTCCAGCTGGGCGTAACGTGGGTCATCGTCTGCTGTGCACACCTTGCAAGGCAAGTCTGCTCCTCTTGGCAGGAAACAACCGCAAACCTGCAGCATATGATATAATGTAATATTATGTTACATTATAAACTATAATATGATATGACATGATATAGCATAGCATGGTATAACCTTATGTGACAGTATCATATAATATAGACCCTACACCATCCTGCCTGATCGGTGCCGGTCAGTGGCGCCACGAAATCGCAGCCTCTCGCTCCGAGAATGAACAGAAACAAATGAGTGGTTGTCAAAATTAGGGTCCCTTTTGGTACCCTAAATATTAGGGTGCCGTGATATGTTAGGGACCCAAAAAGGGGCCCTAATTGGACAACCACCCAAGCCATTGATGTCGGGACACCCATAATCTACATCTCGACAGAATGCATCAACGGTTGAAACCATGGGCCCCTACTTAAAGGATCATGGGACTTAGTAAGTAGGTTATAACTGGGGTTATAAGTCCCCTAAGTGGGGTTAGCCTGATTATAACCTACTTATAACCTTACTTACCAGGTCCCACGAGCCTTTAAGTAGTATGGGCCCTTGACCCTGGGATCCTTATTTACCTACTATATACCCTTCTTGGAGGATCATGGGACTTAGTAAGTAAGGTTATAAGTAGGTTATTATTAGGATAACCCCACTTAGGGGACTTATAAGCCCAATTATAACCTACTTACTAAGTCCCATGATCCTTTAAGTTGTTTAGACTCTTAAGGAACGGCCCAGGCAGACAGCCAGAGCAGCAGCTCCAGAATATGTGCGGAAGCGTGCCTCTTCTATGTGAAGGGTCAGCTATTGTGGCACTTATGGTTTAGGGCTTAGGGCTTAGGGTTTGGGGTTTAGGGTGCTCTCTTTGCAGACGTGGTGAAGGAGAAACAGTCCAGGTATCACATGCCCTCGCCTGGTGGCAGGCTCCCTGCTGCTGGCGCCGGGGAACTCGAGTCCGGCACGCAGCCGCGAGGTGGAGTGGCACCTGAACTCAGGAGTTTGGAATCTCATGAGCACGTTCCAGGTGACGACCTCATTTAGCAGCCCAAAGGGAACCGTATCCAGACAATACACCCGAAAAATGACAAGCCTTCAAGTGTAAGCAAGCTCCCTCCTGCCTGCACCCATGCACTGGTTGCACCTCAACGGCACGTCGGCCCAAAGGCAACATTGGATGCAAGTCGAGCATGTCGCGCATCTATCAGCAGAGGCTGCCGGGTGTTGACAGTTTTCGGAGCTCATCGTCCACATGTCTATTTATTCTAACCAGTCTTGTTGCACGTCCTCCCTTGCCGGCAAGACCTCCAAACCGGCTGCACATCTCTTTTCCCTCTGAATTACAATCTTACCATTTCGTACTCCTATTACTACTACTGCTGCTGCTACTACCACTGCGACGACGACGATTCTTCCTTGCTACTCCTTCCCTGCTGCTACCACCGCAACAACTACCACCAGACTACCACTCCTCCTACTACTACGACTACGAAAATGAATATCATAACCTAACTAGCATGCCGACCACTGTTGCTGCCGTTCACCAGCTATCCCCTCGTAGTGCTCCGAGCTGCAAGTACTCGTGCTGCTGCGGCGTGAAGATCATTTGCGAGGAGTTCGGGTCAATGTACCTGACAGAATGACAAATGTCAGTGTACTGATTCTATTCAATATTCAGGTAGCTGCTATGGTCATGGTCATGACCGCGGTGCGGTGGTAGTCGTTGTTGCTACTCAATACGTTTTGCATGTGACAGTCACTGTACCATTGACATTCGCATCGTCCATGCAGGAGCGTTGGGAACATCTGTCGCCAAAAACTTAAAGTTCAGAATGTTCAGAGTTTAGGGTTTAGGGGGAGGTGTGCAGTGCCAAGACACTGGGATTTGAGATCAATAGCTCCACAAATGCCATCCGCAGTAATGTCCTTCGCTGCAGGGATGCAACTGGGCCTAGGCTTCTCATGTGCCTAGAGTTTTGGGTTTAGGGTTTAGGGCTCTGGCAGCTACATGGCGAGCAATGAGACGCATGAACGTGCTTGATGCCTTGGAGCAGTCAGCTGCAAAGGACGTCTCAAAGCCATGTGCAAGATGAGCGCTCACATGAGCTGACGGCACGGCTCCTCCGCCAACATACTCAGCTTGAAATTGTGCAGGAAGCCTTGGACAGCAAAGATGGCAGAAACTTGCTAATCTGCTCCCAACAAAATCTGGGCAGCTTGTCCCCACGCAATACACGCCGTCAATCTTTGGTGATCGATTTCAAGATGCTCCATACACTTAAGTTTGTCCCCACAAGTAGCTGTACTTGGGCAACTAGACTTGTCGTTGCCGGACCTCAACTGTCTGGTTCTTAGTAGGGAATGGGGGAAGGGATCCCGAGAGTAGTCCCTATATAATCCCCTACAGTAGTTCCCATAGTCCGTTCCCCCATTCCCTACCAAGAAAAAGACAGTCAAGCATGCTCGCTGGCCACATCTCAGGAAGACAAGTGGCCTGGCTGTTTGGTGATCTGCCTGGGCTTCGTAGCAGACGCAAAGCACACGGTGATCCGGCCCTAAGAATGGCTACACCCTCAGAGACATTCAGATCATGGAGGATGCTTAGGGGGGTTTAGGGTATAGGGTGTGCGAAGCATGAAAAAGCAGAATGCAAGATGTCAGCAGGCAACCACATTGACTTACTGGAGGCGTGTTCCTTGTCTGAGCTGCTTCACATTCACATTGAAGAAGACACACTCATCCTGACCTGCAGGCAGCTTTGTCAGCACAAGTCGTGGGAATCTAGATCTTGGGGTTGGGGGTTAGGTCTCTCATAAAGGGCTGCGCGAGCTGTTTCCCATGGCAGGAATGATGTTCCAAACTCCAACCTGAACAGGATCCAAAACTGAAACTGGCCACTACTTGGGAGTTTCCGAAAACAAGGGACCCTAATATAGTACCCTGAATAGTAGGATCCTGATTCTAAGGACCCCCAAAATGAGGTACCCCCCCCCCCCCATTTTCGGAAACTCTAAACCCTAAACCCTTTGTAGAACCCTTATGGATCCCTTTAAAGAAACCCTTATAGATCCCTTCAAAGAAACCCCTATAGATCCCTTTAAAGGAACCCCTAAGTTTCAGAAACTCCCGCTTTTTCTGAAACTCCCGAAACCCTTATAGAGCCCTTTAAAGGAACCCTTGTACTACCCTTATAGTAATTCCTTTTAAAGGAACCCTAAGGTACCCCCTGATCTTCGGAATCTACCGCTTTTCAGCAGGTCTTGAGGCTCTTGCTCTGCACATTCACGCCCGTCTTGTCGTTCAAGATAGCCCCAGCGTCTGGCTCAACCTCGCTTTCTCCCAGAGACCCCAAAAAATCCTTAATTTAAGGAATAGACCTTAAATTATCCTAGGATCCCTAATAATTATGATTTAAGGAATATCCCCTAATTGAGGAGTATACCTTAAACTATGGGAAGGGTGGGGCTTTCGCATATTGCTGCCATGCACAAGGAACGACCAGACACGCTTCTGCGCAAATCGAGATCCAATGCTTGCGTCATGCTTCGCATCGTCCAACGGATGGTAGGTAGACTAGCTTCATGTTTGCTTGCGATGAGGGACATGGTTGGAAAGCAGCCCGAGAAAGGTCTGCTGGAACACCATTACAGCTGGGCGTGTCGGTCCTAGACAATTTAAACGGTAAGTTGGCATCACACGCATTGACTGGTAGCTCGTTGAGTCAAGCGACCGCGAAGTTAATGGGGCTATCCAGCCTTGAAGCCTTTTAGAACCCTCTTTCAACTCACCTTCCGCTTCCATATGGGGGTTTCCGAAAATTAGGGGTACCTTTTTTGGGTCCTTATTTTAAGGATCCTACTATATAGGGTACTATATTAGGGTCCCCTATTGTCGGAAACTCCCACATAATCTTCTTCCATAAGCTGCTAAATCGAAGCTTGACCCTTACTTGACCGCCAAGGTTTGAGGCTTCAGGGCCCTTCCCCCCCCCAAACACACGAGCAAAACTCATAACTTTAGGGCTTCTTTTTTATACGGGCTCAATGCCGACTTTTAGGTTTAGGGTTTCATCCATGCAGCAGGCAAGGCGGGGATGGGCCGCCTGCAGTGTTCACTGTACGAGACCCAGAAATCAACCACGCCTACCTGGCCCACTTCAAGCGTTGGATCCTGGTGGCGTATATGCCTCCACTGGATTCAACGCGGCGATCGCTGATGAAAATGGTCTCGCCCCCATTCATCCTGACAGGGAATAGGGCTGAGGCTGCCTGGCACACGCCGAGGCCGTCGAGGCCCAATGCTGTGTCAAGTATTCCTGTTGAAAAGACACGAAATGATGCCTAGGCCACAGAATCTCAGCAAGGTCCAAATTCCCACTGACGTCTGGGGTTTTGACGACTTCTAAAAACTTGTGCAAGCTGCCTGCCTGGCAGCAACCCCTGTGGCAACTGCATTCCTCCCGTTGTTGTACTGACCTCAGCTCTGATCCTGGTGCTTCATGGTTTAGGGACAAGCACCGGGCACCAAAACATGCACGGTGCACGTGATGGACACCATGATTGTGACATTTGGGAGTTTCCGAATATGAGGGACACCTTATTTTGGGGTCCTTTTTTATGAGGATCCTAGTATTTATGCTACTCTATCTATATCTATATATATATGTGTGTATATATATATATGTATATATAGAGGGTCCCCTCTTTTCGGAAACTCCCAGCTTCTGGCATCTTGCACTCGAACAAAAAAAACACGCCGCTGCCGGCAGGCACTGGAAGACGTGGATCTCGAAGTTCCCGGCGCATTGGTTCCTGGGTTACACATAGGGTTTAGGGTTTAGGGTTTAGGGTTTAGGGTTTAGGGTTTAATGATTAGAGTAGGGCTGTGGTTTCGGGGCTCTGAAAAGTATTTATGAATAGCTGGGTTGTAGTTTTGGGGCTCTGAAAAGTATTTATGAATAGCTGGGTTGTAGTTTTGGGGCTCTGAAAAGTATTTATGAACAGGTACCTCTATAGGAGCCATAAGGGAAATGAAAAAGTGTCCCAAATTGCCACCTAGGTTCGTGCGGGCATAGCGATGGATGCCCGTGTCTCAGCAGGCAGGCTTGCAGAGCGGCTTTGACTGACCACAAGTCTGTTTAGTTTCTTAGTAGGGAATAGGGGAATGGAGCCCTATGATGATAGTCCCCCTAAACCCTAAACCCTAAATCGTGTCCCTTAACCCTAAACCCTAAACCCTAAACCCAAAATCGTGTACCTTAAGGTCCCCTATAGTAGTCCCAATAACCCATTCCCCCATTCCGAAGAACCAGACAGCAAAACCCTAAACCCTAAACCCTAAACCCTAAACCCTAAACCCTAAACCCTAAACCCTAAACCCTAAACCCTAAACCCTAAACCCTAAACCCTAAACCCTAAACCCTAAACCCTAAACCCTAAACCCAAAGGAAAGCTCAAGCCGCGGCGCCTTGGAAGTTGAACCGCGACTTGGGTCGCCAGCTCTTCGTGATGTGCGGGTCGCCCCAAAACCGACACTGCTCGAAGCGCGCGTCGTTGAAGTTACCTTTGGTTAGGGTTTAGGGTTTAGGGTTTAGGGTTTAGGGTTTAGGGAGGAATGGGGTGGGGTATAAATATAACTACTATCACCACCGTTCTTCCATTCCCTACTAACCAAAGGTAAGTGAAGCTACCTGGCGCGCTCCTGATTCCCCCCCAATCAGACCATTACATACCCCTCTTACAAAAGATGCTGCCATGAAAGAACATTGTCAGATACTGGAAAATACGAAAACTTTTAACAATAATATCAATAAGAATAATACGAATAACACAGCTAATAACAGGTCCCTTCAATTCTGAATGGCCTGTCAAGCTGCCAATATCCACACAGGCCTGACAGAGCGCTGGTATGGTCGTTGTAGTCGTTGTGGGCGCCTCCACACATTCATAATCCTCACTTTTACCTACAACTGCACTCTCTGCATTCACATTTCAGGCTAAGCCCACCCATAGCCAAACATCAAAAAATCCGCGCCTGCTGGGCATTGAGCCCAGCAACCACGTTCTGCCCAGTCCTAGTCACCGCAGCAGGCGATCGGGCCAGGCTTAAGAGAGCGTGTAATCTGCCAAAACATATTGCCTGAACACCGCACTTCCCCCGACCTCTAAAACTTGCCTATCTGACGGCGGCCTTGAGATTGCCTTGCAAAGCCAATCCGGAACCCCCCCCTAGGTTCGAATTTGGGTAAGCATAGTTTCTGGCTGCAGCAAAAGGGCGGCTTCAGCTTGCATTCGGGGAAGGTGCCGGTAGGTGGCCTGCTCCAGTCACAAGCACCAGGGATTCCATTCAAGTGGCCCGAGGAATTCAATTAAACCTGTCGCGACCCTGTGATGCTTGCCCTAAACCCTTAACCCTAAGCCGTGAACTCTAAACCCTAAACCCTAAACCCACGTTGCATGGGTTTGGGTGCCAAGCCACCAACCGCGGCCCGGTTCATGCTCACCCCATGCTTACCTTTGGTTAGTAGGGAATGGAAGAATGGTAGTAATAGTAGTTATAAGTGTACCCCATTCCTCTATTCCCTACTGACCAAAGGTAAGAATGTTCTCGGATTGAACAAACAACCCTATGCAGACCCTCCATCCTGAAGCGCAGTCGAGAGATGTAGTCTGAACTCTTTTCTTGCTCCTGTACAACTACTAGAGGGAAGCCTATAGCATCCCCCATATGTGAGTTTCCGAAAACAAGGGACCCTAATAGAGTAATTACCTTAAACAGTAGGATCCTTATTATCAGGACCCAAAAATAAGGTACCCCGAATTTTCGGAAACTCTAAACCCTAAACCCTTTGTAGAACCCTTATAGATCCCTTTAAAGAGCCCTTGTAGATCCCTTTAAGGAACCCTTGTAGATCCCTTTTAAAGGAACCCCCAAATTTTCGGAAACTCCCAGGTGGCTGGAGATGTTTGGGGTGAACCGAGCTATTGTCCGAACTTCTCATGGGCGCTAATGTGTGAATTCCGAAAAATCGGGTTACCTGAAAAGGCATCTACAAGGGTTCCTTAAAGGGATCTACAAGGGCTCCTGAAAGGGATCTATAAGTGTTCTACAAAGGGTTTAGGGTTTAGAGTTTCCGAAGATTAGGGGTACCTTATTTTGGGGTCCTTACAATAAGGATCCTCCTATTTAAGGTACTCTATTAGGGTCCCCTATTTTCGGAAGCTCCCACCTGTCCATCCCAAGATCGCAGGTAAAGATCCCCTGGTCTGGCTTCCTCGAAGGCAGCTTAGGGTTTAGGCATGAGGGTTTAGGACTTAGGATTTAGGGTTTGGGGTTTAGGGTTTAGGGTTGAGGAAGGGTTTTTGTCAAGGTCTTGGTGTTAAGATCTAAGGTTTCGGGTTTTTTATGGGGGAATGAAGCACATGGAGACTTCTTTCATTTTTACTGTAGCGCCACAGGGGTTGGGGCGCCCGGGAGTGGAGCCACGTACTGATCAAGAACTGGAGTATGTGTAGGGATAGGGTTTAGGGTTTGGGGTAGGGATACAGTAGAAGCCAGAAAGTTGGAATATCATTATCGTAACCCCTTTAAGGTAAATTATAGGGGATCCTACCATTATTCCATATTCCAACTTTCTGGCTTCTACTGTAGTCCGGCAATCATCACAGCGGTCCTAAAGATCCAGGACGAAGCCTTGGAGTAGCGCACGCTCTTTTCACTCCAGAGAGCTGCATCGATATGCCAAGTCATCATTAAGTGAGGTACAAACGACGACATGAAATTGTACATGTGGGCTTAGGGCTTAGGGTTTAGGGTTTAGTTTAGGGTTGGGCATTCTCAACAACGTGCATGCAAGCATACTGCTGGAATCAACTCAATCGGAGCGGGGATTTCAACAGGTCCACCTGAAAAGCTTGAGTTGAAGTAAGTCTATCTTCAAGCCAACCTCCGCGCCCCTTGAACTCCAAAGCACCCCAACGCCCTGAACCCAAGCCCTGGACCCTTAACCCACACCCTAAACGGGCTCCTTTGCAAGATGTAGTTGGAGCTGCAGCCCACTTCGCAGCTCTCCCCAGGCATCAGACGGGAACACTTCTCGGGAATCTCCTCTTCAGCGGCACAAAGGCACTCTTGAATCAGCTCGTTGCCCTCAAGTTTCCTTTGCATATTGCAATTGCTGTTATCATTTCTAGTATTACGACCAACACTGCTACTCTTGTTATGAATACTAGTCTTCCTAGTACTGTTGACTGCTGCTACAATTGCTACATGTTGAACCTAACGGCCGAGCTCTTCCAAATCAAGTAGAACCACTACAATAAAAGACACAATGATGAGAATGAAAACTTTACATCATATACTGCTTCAGCCGCGGTACATATTGATCTTTGTTGAGCTCATTGGCCAGGGATATCGGAGCACACGCAACAGGTGCAGGGAGTCCCCAGGAGGTGCCAGCGCGGTTCCTCAGAAACTGGGAGCATGGATTGTGCAATTGCACATCCCCACTACTTGGAGGATCATGGGACTTAGTAAGTAAGGTTATAAGTACCTTAATTGGGGCTATAAGTAATTAGCTACCCTAATTATAACCCCTGTTACCAAGTCCCATGGTCCTTTAAGTACCAGTACAGGGGGGTCTATCAAACTTAGGCTCCCTGTGGTGGGCCTGGGTGGGGTTAGAGTCAGAAATACTCTCTCATTGGTTCCATAAGGGCTCCTTTAAAGGGTACTTGAAGGGTTGCTATAAGGGATCTATATTAAGGGTACTATAATAGATAATGTAGGAACCTGCTTAAGAAACCTTGGGCGTTTATTAGGGCTCCTTATATGAACCCTAATATTTCGGGGTTATATGGCCAGGGTTTCTTAGTCAGGTTCTATTATATCATAAGAAGCCCTAAGCCCTAAACCCTAAACCCCTTATTATCATAAGAAACTCGAAGCTCCTAATGTCGATCTGCTGAGGAGCTCTGATCCGCTGGGGGCTCAAGAGCCCGGGAGGTCCAGGCCCTCGAGGCCGGCCCTACTTAAAGGATCATGGGACCTAGTAAGGTAGGTTCCTTTAAAGAGCTCCTTTAAGGGATCTATATAGGGGTTCTATAAGGGGTAGTTTAGGCTACTTAAAGGATCATGGGACTTCGTAAGTAGGTCATCATTTGGGGTTATAAGTCCCCTAAGTGGGGTTATCCTGATTAGAACCTACTTATAACCTTACTTACTAAGTCCCGTGAGCCTTTAAGTAGCCCAGGGAGATGCCCAGAGACTCCAATATCCCCTAATTGCAGAGTACATCTTGAATTGTCGTAGGATCCCTAGTATGATGTAAGTATCCCCTAATTAGGGAATATACCTCAAATTATCCTAAGCTCCCTAATATGATTTACGGAATATCCCCTAATTAGGGAATATACCTGAAATTATAGTAGGATCCCGAATATGATTTAAGGAATCTTCCTTACTTGAGGGATATTGGAGTGTCTGGGTACACGGCCACAGGGGAATAGGATGCCCTACATCGTCAGAATAAGAATCGTAAATGATAGTCATCATGCTACTGTAGTTAGTAGTCGTGATAAGGGTAATACTCATAATACGGTTGATGATATAAATCCTGCATTACCCATAATAAGGAATATACCATAAATCCCATAGTTCCGGGTCCTTAAGGTAATGCAGGATTTATATCATCAACCGTAGTAGTCAAAAATGAGCGAGGGGGCTCTGCACCTGGCATGATCTGAACGTTGGCGGTCGGATCGCTTTGCAGTCTTCGTCCAGAACCTAAGTGCATGCGGCAAGCGGCAACATGCTCCAGCGTGCTCGTGCGCACAGGGGTTCCTGTTTTATGAGATCCTGATGAATTTACTGGGGCTTGCAGTGGACGCAGCCCAAACATGCCGTGTAGACAGTGGAGTGGAGTCGACATCCGGCACGAGAACTTGCCTATCCACTAACAATCCACGAGGCTGTAGATGCCACCACCGCAGCTGCCCATGACAGTCACAAGATTTGGGTTGCAACCTTGATTGCAAGACTGTGAGGAGCCAAGCCCTTGCAAGTTTGTAAAGCTCTGCAATCCAGCAGCCACCCAATACTAACCAAGGCTTGATCATGTTGGCGCACACATGTGCTACGCTGCTACACAGTTGTAAGGCAGGCCGTGTTCACACAAGCAAGCGGCAAGCGTAGCGAATCACCACATGGTCGATGGGTTCCTGGATTTCCACCTGCCCGGCGCAGAATTGCGCAGAGCTCGGAGGGTTGTATGACCTGGCACTGCCACGGATCTCGGCGGAAGTCGTTTCGCCCAGAACTTGTAGGGTCACAAGAGCAGATGAATGACAGTAGATGCTCGGCCAGGGAAGTACGAAACGGTTGGTTCTGCGACAAGCGCCCGAGCTTGCTAGTGCACTTGCAGCTCGTCTGAGCCATACTCTTAATGAGCCCTACAGTCCTGGCCAAGCCCCTTTACAGTTCTTCAAAGTACCTCATGTTAGACAGTGAGGAGGCAACCCGAAAGCTAAACAGCTTCGACCCCAGCAAGTGAAGAAATGACTACAGTTGATGATATAAATCCTGCATCACCCATAATAAGGAACACACCAGTATTCCCATAGCTCATAATCCTTAAGAAGGTAATGTAGGACTTATATCATCAACATTAGTTCCATAATTCTTTGTGAATGCTCAAGTTTGCTCTATGCTGCATTTCTCTCCTGTCATTCATGGAAGCGCTAAGCAATGGAGCTCAACACCGATCTTCCTGCTTGTCTGAGCATGCAAGCTTGCACCCATGCGTTACTAGCTTGCATGGCTATGAGGCGGCTATGAGTGGTTGGTTTTCTGTCCTCTGGTACACACCACTGCATTGCATGAGCTAGGCATGTGTGCAAAATGTCCCCCCAACCTGCATGACTTTTGGTTGCCGTGCATGGCACAGACCTGGCAGGGGCTCAGCGTGAACATTTGTGAAGGTCAGCCAACTTGCACCACCTTGTTTCATTCGAATTGTCTCCGTCACCTGTCAACCCATCTACCCTGACCCTGAACCCGAAACCCTCAACCCCTCTACCCTAAAATCAGAAAGATGGGAAGTTGAAGCATTTTTCTCCCAGCTGTGCTCGTCCGACGAAGCCAAGGTAGGAGTAGAATCCTGCTATGCTGCGCGGAACTTCTGCGTTAAAACGAAAAGATCTCCTAGCTCAACGACACACACACACCACTGTGCATGTCATGAAACCCTAAACCTAAACCCTAAAGCATGGGATTACAATATGGTCCACAGGTCTGGTAATCCAATCGCCTGCTACTTAGAGGATCATGGGACTTAGTAAAGTGAAAAGTACCATGAAAAGTACATTACTTGGGGTTATACGTATTTATAAGGATAGTTACCTTATTTATAATCCCAGTTACTAAGTCCCATGATCCTTTAAACCCTCAATCTCCGGCCTTTTTCACACAGAAGCCCTCTGGCGGCTTCGCAAAGCAAACCTCTGCCTGCCCAAGCAACCGAGAGTGGAGAGCCCTGGGCCCTGTCCCAGCGGTTTAGGGTTTAAGGGTTAAGGGTTTAGGGTTTAGGGTTTAGGGTTTAGGGTTTAGGGGACCGTGCTAGTAGTGGAAGCAATTCGGGGACATGCATGCGTAGTGCGACTCATCAACTGCGTTGATGTTGAGAATTTCCGGCTTTCACTGGGACAGGATACCCCACTGAACTCCTGAAATTTCTGCTCTGCCCTGTCTGTACTCCGGCCCCTGACAAACCTTCTTCCACTCCAAATGGGTAGTTGTCAGAATTATGGTCCCTTTTGGGCACCCTAAATCCGCCGAGGCCACAGGCCCAGGCGTTTTGGTGGTTACCTCAGGTACCCTCCACCTAATCCTCCTCCCTGCAGTCCAAATGTTTGGGGACACCCTGTTTTTGCGCTCGTTTGCCACCCCCTTGCCCGGCCTCCCCTCATTTTCTTTGATTTGCGGGCCTACCCCCCCCCCCCCCCCCCCCCCCCCCCCCCCCCCCCCCCCCCCCCCCCCCCCCCCCCCCCCCCCCCCCCCCCCCCCCCCCCCCCCCCCCCTCCCTTTCCCCTCCTTTCCTGGCCTCTCCCCTCGCACCACCCTCCCACTTCTTCTCCCCACCCTCGTTCCCTCCTTTCCTGGCCTCTCCCCTCGCACCGCCCTCCCACTTCTTCTCCCCGCCCTCGTTTCGTCTTCCTCGCCCCCGCTTTGGCTTTTGCGTCGTCAATCCACTGCCTGTCTTTCTTTTCAGGCTCTTTCTGTGTTGTTTTTTCTTGCTCCGGGCGGCATGGCTGGAAGGCCTTTAACCGGTTACAGGCCCAGGCGTCTTGGTGGTTACCTCAGGTACCCTCCACCTAATCCTCCTCCCTGCAGTCCAAATGTTTGGGGACACCCGTTTTTTGCGCTCATTTGCCACCCCCTTGTCCGGCTCCCCCCCTCCCCGACACTCCCGCTTAGCATGCTGTATACAACATCCACTGCCGCCTCGCCCTGCCGCTACAGAGCCGAGGCGGGCGGCGTAGCGTTAAAATTAAGTGCCGAATTACATTAAGGACCCAAAAAGGGACCATAATTTTGACAACCACCCATATATCGATCCCTAAACTACCCTAGTATAGTACCCTAAATCATAGGATCCCTATTATAAGGACCCCCAAATAAGGTACCCCCCAACATGCGCCTTCCCTGCAAATTGACCTGAGATGGCTGTTTCAGCTCGGCTCGGCTCTCTGGGGGTGGAGAGGTCCATGTTGGGTGTGGCTTTAGGGCTTAGGGGTTTAGGGGTTCCGGGGGTTTAGGGGGTTTAGGGGTTGAGGGGTTTAGGGGTTTAGGGGGTTTAGGGGGGTTTAGGGGGTTTAGGGGTTTAGGGGGTTTAGGGGGTTTAGGGGTTTTAGGGGGTTTAGAGGGGTTTAGGGGTTTAGGGGGTTTAGGGGGGGTTTAGGGGTTTAGGGGTTTAGGGGTTTTAGGGGTTTCGGGGTTTAGGGGGTTTAGGGGTTTAGGGGTTTCGGGGTTTAGGGGGTTTAGGGGTTGAGGGGTTTAGGGGGTTTAGGGGTTTAGGGGTTTAGGGGGTTTAGGGGTTTAGGGGTTTAGGGGGTTTAGGGGTTTCGGGGTTTAGGGGGTTTAGGGGTTTAGGGGTTTCGGGGTTTAGGGGGTTTAGGGGTTTAGGGGTTTCGGGGTTTAGGGGGTTTAGGGGTCTAGGGGTTTAGGCTTTACGCTTGGGGGTTGGGTGTGCCATGAAAGGATCACTAGGGACTTTCCTCATCTTCAACATTCGCTGCTCCATCTTCGCGTTAGTCACTAGTGGCTTGTGCACCTGGATGCAGCATGATCCAAATCTGTTTATCTACGCTCTAAACAAACCACGTTCTACTTGAAGGATCATGGGACTTAGTAAGTAAGGTTATAAGAATACCTTCATTGGGTTTATAAGAAATTATAAGTGTGGTTACCTTATTTATAATCCCCGGTTACGAAGTCTCACAATCCTTTAAGGAAGCCGAAGTCCCCTCTTAAAGAACCCTATAGAGTCCTTATAGATCCCTTTAAAGGAGGCCTTTAAGGAACCCTGGTGTAGCCTTTAAGTACTCTCCCAGATCTACCGGACGGCCCACCAAAATGAATTGAAGACCCAGCTGCCAGTGAAGGTGCAGCTCAGGTAGTCGCCGCTTCGTGGGTTGTTGCCACAGTCACGACTGCCTTTCAACCAGAATGAACACCGGAAAGCACATGGATTCATCCTGAAGCTTTCGGATATGGGAGTTTCCGAAAATTAGGGGTGCCTTATTCTAGGGGCGTTATAATAAGGATCCTACTATTTAAGGTGCTATATTCGGATCCCCTGTTTTCGGAAACTCCCATATGTTCTACAGTAAGATCTTTGCAGCCAAGCTGCGGGTGCTGTTGGACCAGCACTCCCGATTCTCCAGATCTAGGCCCGAGCAAGATGCGCACCTCAGCATATGTGCTCTGTAAACGCACGGTCCTTGGGCAACCCAAACCAGGCACCACCTTTTCTAGGTTTACGGCAAAGTCTCTTAGAAGCAAAATTGCAGAAGTAACAAACTGCCTGATGCACGCAGGAAAGAGACGCGCAACCAATTACGAGGATCAACTGTGGACTTTGGGCAAGCCACTCGCCGCCCTCAGCGATGTCCGGGAAGCACTGGCCGCTCCTTAGCCAGACTTTGCTCAGCATTTTCTGGTTCAGGAGATGCTGCATCCCACAAACAGGACATGCAGAAGGCCATCAAGAGTCTGGAGCTCGAAATCTGAGTCGGCTTCACAGGAATCCTTAGCTGTGTCAAGCTGCTCATTGGGTTTACGGTTTAGGGTTAAGGGCTTAGGGCTTAGGGTTCAGGGCTTAGGGCTTACCTGCACACACCTACAAACCTCATAGCGTCACCCCGGAAGCCTCCCAGGTTAGCTACAGTGAAGGCACAGACTTCAGAAATGGAGTAGAAATCAAGCAGCGAAGACAATTAAAAGATAAAAAGGAAACTGAAATCATGTAATGCAAACCGTATAACGTTCCCATATTGAAGGTTTTCTAGAAAGCAGCTCACTTCGGTTCGTTGTCCAGGCTCCCATCCGCCCTCTGCGCCCTCATCTTCCTGGTCCTCGTCCGGCTCGTCGGGCTCGTCATCTTGGCTGTTCCTCTAAGAGCTTCGCGGTTTGGGGTTTAGAGTTTAGGAACCATGTGGGACGAAACAAAAGAATTGTGGGTGTGTTCAGGGCTGTCGTTGGGCCACTACGACAGTCAGCCGTCCTCGTCAGCTCCAGGACATTCTGCGCGGTGGTACCTGAGTCTGGGGGAGCCGGGAGTCTTTGCTGCTGGCTTAGGGGGTTGAGGGACTGGTTGAGTGTCCGAAAATAGGGGACCCTAATATGGTACCCTAAACAGTAGGATCCTTATTATAAGGACCCCAAAATAAGGTACCCCTAATTTTCGAAAACTCCGAAATGGGGCGGTGTGGTTTTTGAGCCTTTTCAGAAGGCGAATCATCGTTGCAGCCGAGGCACAGGTCAATGTGCCAGTCGGATCCCGGAAATAGAACCTGGGACATGAGACAGCACGCGCAGACTTGTAGGGTTTAGGGTTTAGGATTTAGGGTTTAGGGTTTAGGGTTTAGGGGGGTGAAGGGTAGAAACGACAGCACGACTCATGCATCTGCCGGTGCTTGTCTGCAGCACATCTCTGCAATTTCTTTCAGACACATGCCCAGGTTTGCGTGCAGACTCGTGGCATCTCCACTGGAGACAACACTTTCGAGGGATCCCTGACCAGGTCCGCTATGATCTGAAGGCTGCCGCTGCCGGGCTGGAAAGAGAAGATCCTGCGCCAATACGGTTGATGATATAAATCTTGCATCACCCATAATGAGAATATACCATAATTCCCGTAGTTGAGAGTCCTTAAGGTAATGCAGGATATATATCATCAACAGCAGCAGCACCCGCTGGCGGCTGGCAGCGGGAAGAATAGCAAGCTCATGATATCCTGCCCAAAGACAAACCTTGCCGGCTCCACTCTTGATCCCGCGCGAATCCAAAAGAAAAGCTACAAAACTCCGAAGAGGGAACCCAGAGACTCCAATATCCCTTAATTAAGGAATATTCCTTAAATCATATTAGGGATCCTAATATAATTTAGGTATATTCCTTAATTAAGGGGTTTTGGAGTCTCTGGGAACCGCGAAGCTCAGAGCCCCGAAGCGGATCCTGGGTTGGTTCACCAGCCCGTCCGTGATGGCCGGTTGGCACTGAAAGCTTCGCAGTGCCTTCCCAACTGGGGGTTTCCGAAACTTAGGCGTACCTTATGTTGGGGCCCTTATAATGAGGATACTACTGTTTAGGGTACTATATTTTCGGAAACTCCCAACTGCTTCGGAAACTCAAACACTCGAGGCAGGACACCTCGGCAAGTCATTCTACATCAGCTCAACTCGAGCAAAAAAACAGACAATGCATGCCTTCCGCAAAACCGTTCGGAGCCATCTGATAATCCTTCTGAGTAACTAGGATTTCGTGATTAGGCTTTCAAGCAGGAAACCCTTACCCGGCCTCCCATGCGGCGGGTCTGCCGCCACTTCCTCACTGACAGCAATATTAAGATTAAGATTAAGAATAAGAATACGGCTAAGACTGCTAAAAGCAATAATAGCTCTCATAAATATGGCGATAGCGATCACACAATTCAAAATGCTAATGACCATAGGCGCGGTACTAGTAGTAGTAGTAGTAGTAGTAGTAGTAGTAGGAGTAGGAGTAGGAGTAGGCGTAGGAGTAGGCGTAGTAGTAGTAGTAGTAGTAGTAGTAGTAGTAGTAGTAGTAGTAGTAGTAGTAGTAGTAGTAGTAGTAGTAGTAGTAGTAGTAGTAGTAGTAGTAGTAGTAGTAGTAGTAGTAGTAGTAGTAGTAGTAGTAGTAGTAGTAGTAGTAGTAGTAGTAGTAGTAGTAGTAGTAGTAGTAGTAGTAGTAGTAGTAGTCGTAGTCGTAGTAGTCGTAGTCGTAGTCGTAGTCGTAGTCGTAGTAGTCGTAGTCGTAGTCGTAGTCGTAGTCGTAGTCGTAGTCGTAGTCGTAGTCGTAGTCGTAGTAGTAGTAGTAGTAGTAGTAGTAGTAGTAGTAGTAGTAGTAGTAGTAGTAGTAGTAGTAGTAGTAGTAGTAGTAGTAGTAGTAGTAGTAGTAGTAGTAGTAGTAGTAGTAGTAGTAGTAGTTTTAGTAGTAGTAGTAGTAGTAGTAGTAGTAGTAGTAGTAGTAGTAGTAGTAGTAGTAGTAGTAGTAGTAGTAGTGGTAGTAGTAGTCGTAGTCGTAGTCGTAGTCGTAGTCGTAGTCGTAGTCGTAGTCGTAGTCTTAGTCGTAGTCGTAGTCGTAGTCGTAGTCGTAGTCGTGTCGTAGTCGTAGTCGTAGTCGTAGTCGTAGTAGTAGTAGTAGTAGTAGTAGTAGTAGTAGTAGGAGTAGGAGTAGGAGTAGGAGTAGGAGTAGGAGTAGTAGTAGTAGTAGTAGTAGTAATAGCAATCGCTTCCCCCTAATGTTAAACCCGGGGGGGCCCACCCCCCAATTCCAAATTGAAAATAAGGGATGCTTTTATCTCTATTCTCCCATTCGGAATAGGTTTCAAAGGGCGCGGGATGAAAAAGGGGGGATGTTCCGGACAGTGTGTTTAGTCTTAGGGTGGTGTTTCTTAAAAGGGGGGGAGTTATTAAAGTAATGATTAGTAGTAGTAATAACATTAGGCATGGCGTGAGCTGGACAAGACTGAAGTCATGAGACAAGGTCTGTTAGACAGGAGAGCAAATGGTAACTGTAATAATGACAGTAGTAATACGCATAACAATAGTAATCAGGAACACCAGATCTCTCCACCACTTCTCTGTAGTCCTTCGCTTGTTCCCGCGACATCGCTCCCTAAAGGTATGTCTCATTTCCTCTTTGTGCCTTCCTTTGCTTCCCTCTGCTCTTATCTCCGTACCCTATCTTTTCTCCTGCTCAGGTCTTCCACCCACTTGCCACTTGCGATCCCGTATCAAATACTGAAAGATCTGAAAGGAACAAGAACTCAGCACGGCGGCGAAGTCAAGCCTTGTAACGACTAGTGTGCAGGCAATTCTAGTAACAAAATAATTGTAATAGTAACCATAGAAGTTGTAGTAACACCAATAATTTCAACAATGGTGCAGGCAAGGGATCAGGAGTCTGAGTTCCGGCCATGCAGGACATCATAGGGTTTAGGGTTTAGGGTTCAGGGTTCAGGGTTTCGGGTTCAGGGTTTAGGGTTTAGGGGTAACAAAGAAGCTTAAAGCTGGCAACATAGCACGTGTTCATTGCCGGAGCTATCAAGGACCCACCCCAACGACCAGTGAAAAAATGACTTGAGGACCATGTGCCACGGAGACTTCGGATACTGGGGCGAGGAGCGAACTTTCAAAGAACGATTCAGTTCAAGCGGCTTCTGCACTTGACCTGCCCCGTTGAGACATCGCCTGCGCAAAGCGAGAGCTTTCACGCCAAACCCCTTGCTGGCAAGAGAAACCCAGTATTACTGTTCTTAGCACCATTACCCTTATGACGTATATTCATGTAATCACTGTAATTTCATTTCTACTATTGCTCGTGTTACTATCATTATTTACTCTTTTTGTTACCATTGTTGAAAGTATTGATGTTATTACAACTACTATTGAAAAATAGTTGTGACGGTTATTACTATTTGCTCTTTTGGTAATGTTAATGATACTACTTCAAATGTATTGCTAATAAATTAACATTTCTTGACATACAGCTCAAAGAGTGGACGGCATCCCGGCGTGCCTGATCCAAAAGACTACCTCTGTGGCAGCTGCTCAAGTGGTGAATCAGTGCACTGCGACATTTACCAGTAAAAAAACAACAGTAATAACAACCATTTTAATAATGGATAACAGGATACTAGAAATGATGAGCCTTTGAATATTCACCATCGTGTAAGGCTAGTAATTCTACTACTACTACTACTACTACTACTACTACTACTACTGCTACTACTACTACTAGGAAAGAGGGTAGTAACGCCTTGCCTCGCGTGGCGCAGAGGGCTCCACACTTCTTTCCCTTTCGGGTGAAGAGGTCACATTCCGATCTCCTTGCGTTGAGCACGGTTTAGGGATTGGGGTTTAGGGGTTTTGCTTCAGGCTTCAGGGTTTAGGGTTTAGAGTCCCTACCCAGAGACTCCAATATCCCTTGATGAAGGAATATTCCTTAAATCATATTAGGGATCCTACTATAATTTAAGGTATATTCCTTAGTTAAGGGATATTGGAGTCTCTGGGTAGAACCAGTGGGCTTCAGCATCGAGCTCAGTAGATGGGCGACACGGTGTTATAGAGAATGGTGGGGTTTAGAGTTTAGGGTTTAGGGTTTAGGGTTTAGGGTTTAGGGTTTAGGGTTTAGGGTTTAGGGTTTAGGGTTTAGGGTTGTCTGGCAGTGTCAGCAATGCCGTTGTCAATCTGGCATTGCAGCTGCGGACATCCAGGTGCACATGGCACACAGATATGGCATCACTGCGCCAGTGATGATACTACAGAACGAGTATGAACAAAATTGCCGAAGATGATGTGCACAGCCCTTAGGGTGCACGCCTCCCGCGTGGGCATGTCGTGTCCGCATCCTTTACTTGCTCAAAGGTTATACTGTTAGAGCAGTATATATGATCGTACTATCCTAAAGGTTATTTCTGTCATATCATTGTATATGTTTGTGTCATCCTAAAAAATATTAGAAATGATCATTATGTAAGATTGTAGTATGACAGACACATGCAGCTCCAGATTTGCCCAGCCGCCGCAGGTGCTGGGAAGGTAAAAACACAGAAGCCAGATCCCAGAAACTCCAATATCCCCTAATTAAGGAATGTAACTTGAATTATAGTAGGATCCCTAACATGATGATTTAATGGATATTTCATATTCCTTAATTCAAGGACATTAGAGTCCCTGACACCGCTGACAGCCCCTGACTCTGAAGCATCGCAGCGGTCTGTTCGCATGATATGACTGGGCACAACGGCTTATGACTTTGCACACACCTACAGCTGGGGAGTTCACAAGCCAGATTGGCTTTGCACTTCCAGGCAATGCAAAATTCAGGGCATATGATGGCCAGAATGATGGCAAACGCACGCAACATGCGGAATGTAGCCCTTCTCGTGGCAGCGTTTCTGCCGAGACTCCCGTCTGGAATTATGCCGGATAGCTGCAGACCTCGGATGGCAACAGCGCTGTGAAGCATTGTGCATCAATGGGTCCCAGTCCTGGGTCAATCGAAATGCTTGTGAGTATGAAAGCATGAGAGCATGGAAGTGTTCCGCACAACCTACTGCTCTGCTGCAGCAAAGGCACTCTGCCCATCCTTATCAACATACACCTGAGATGTGGATGTCAGAAACCCGCTTCAGACTTTCTTTCATGAGGTGATGCCCATTACTTGGAGGGAAAAGGGACTTAGTAAGTCGTTTATAAGTAGGGTTATAATTTCGGTGACTCCATTTAGGGTACTTATAACCATACTTATAACCTACTTACTTAAGTCCCCTGCCCCTCCAAGTATACCATAATTGTATTAAGGAACCCCAAAATGGTTTACTACGGCCCCTACATTCCCACACCCTCTGAGGCTGAACTGAATTACGCCTCCACGCAGCCAGTTTTGTCAAACACCAATCTCCACTTCTCCCCTTTATGGGCCCGCTTAATCATTTCCAAGTTCTTGGGCTTTGAACTGAAGGTAGAAAGCTGGTGGAAGCTAGAACAACACCTCTGCTGCCATGTCTCCTGTGACACGCCAGATAAGCAGACCTGCGCTGACATGAACTGACTGAAGCATTGCAAGTAAGCTTTCTTTCTCTGGAATGATGTCGTTTCGGAAAGAAAAATGTCTTGTTCGAATCCTTCCATTCGAACTCTTGGCTCTCAGAGACTTTGGAACTAGCTTTCACAAGCAATTTTCCAATCTTTGCACGAAGACCACCTTTTCAAGACATCTGTCGTGAATACTGCCCGTAGAGATTGCAGGAAAGCAGCACGTTTCTCGAAACCTTGCGGTCTACCCAGAGACTCCCATATCCCTTAGTTAAGGGATGTTCCTTAAAATCATATTAGGCATCCTACGATAATGTAAGGTATATTCCTCCATTACGGGATATGGGAGTCTCTGGGTACCTCTAGGCCTGCCTGGCTTGAGCATGCTTTGTTGGTGCCGGAACTTACCTTTGGTTAGTAGGGAATGGAAGAATGGTAGTAAGAGTATCTTACCCCCATTCCTCCATTCCCCACTAACCAAAGGTAAGGGAAGGGGCGTTTTTTCAAAAGCCCGCCGCGCCTTCTCGGCAGGTCGGCACTTCAAGGTGATGGACCATAAACCATCCTGAAGGCTCCGGGATCTATATTAGGGTTTAGGGTTTAGGGGAAAAATAGGGTTTAGGGTTTAGGGTTTAGGGTTAAGTTGGTGTTGGGCTACTATAAGGGATCTTAAATAGGGTTCTATATTGCTGTTAGGGATCTATAATAGGGTTCTATATTAGGTACTATAAGGGATCTAGAACCTACAATATGGTTCTATATTATGGGCCTTAACAGTTACCTCCGAGTGCAGGTTTGAAGATCCCTGCCTCACACTGGACCTCTCCCAAAGGTCTCCGACGGTTCTTGCACACAATGGGGCAAAGGAAGCCGTCGGGGGCGCTGGAGCCTTGGAAGCTCAGGGTTTAGGGTATAGGGTTTACGGAGGATCGCTGGGTTCAGGAGCAAAAAGCATTGCGCAGCGCGCGTCGCTCCTTTTTCGGGCTTGCTGCTTGAGACGTGGGCCCTTCGAGCCCGTTTGCCCCGCACCGCAAGTGCCCGTCCTCTTTCGCTTGCAAGCGCCGCGTTTTCACGCGTGGAGAGTCCAGGAATGTTTTGGGTACATGGTTCGGGTATGGATGCTCTGGAATCCGAATTCTTCAACAGTTTTGGGGTTTGGGCATGGGAGCTCTGGGAGGCAAATTGGAACGTGCACAGTTCTGATGGCTTCGGGCAGGGATGCTCCGTAAACCGAGCGGAACACGGACGTCCCCATCGTTCAGGCATGGATGCCATGGTAACTGAATGCGGCTAGAACTTGATGCTGGTGGTGACAAATCTCGTGGTTTAGGAATAGACTCCGGTAGACAAATGCAGTTGGAATGCAGAAGCATGGATGCTCTGGTGACGAGATGAACGAGCTTTATGGTTGGTCACAGATGCTCTCACAACCGAATGCAGCCGGGCAAATGAGGACACCAGACCTTGAAACCTGCTGCAATAGTCTGTTTCCAGGGCAGGCACAGAAAGTCGCAACGTTGTTGCTCTTGATATCAGACTTCCGGTTCTTGTTGGAGTTGACGGGAGTACTGCCTCAGTAACAGACTGCATTGTCTCTGACAGGATTTGCATGAAAGCCTCAGGACTGGATGCCGTGTAGTTGCAGCCTTTGCCAGCACCAGAAGGGGAAAGATGGAACCACCACCAACGGCCAGAAAGCCCCACAGAACAGGGATACATCTCCTCAGCTCGTAGCATGAAAGTGTCTGAGCATTTCAAGCCCGTGACACTGCAGGCACTCCAACCGCAGGCACGAAAGATGTTGTTAGAAAGCTTCTGGAAGAACCAGTGCGATAAATCCACGTGATCAACCCGACCGTTCAGTCATTGGATACTCTGTGCAGCAAAGGAACACGAGAATTCCTGTGCAGGCGTTCAACCATGCTTCCAGGGCATGTGCTGCTAAGGGACTGAATCTTTAGAGAAGTTCAGCGAGCGCACATGGAGGTTAAACCGCGAACGAAGCATGTGAGCCATAATCTAAACCCCTAGCATCCCCCTTAATCACGCCCAAAATAATCAACTACATCAGGAGTTTAGACTATAGCCCATGTAGTGACCCTGTTCCTGCAAAACGCTGCTGCAGAGTCCTGCTGAAAACCCTACTTATAAAAATCATGAGACTTAGTAAGTAAGGTTATAGGTTATAAGTACCGTAAATAGGGTTATAAGTAGCTACAAGTATGGCTACCCTATTTAAACCCCCAATGACTAAGTCCCATGATCCTTGAAGTAAAGCCCATCGGAGCCTCCCCCTGATCAGGTCCGGACACGGCTCCACGGGCTGCGGTCCGTCCTGCTATGCATGAAAGCCGAGTAACGGGGGCATCCGGCCTTACCTTAGGGTTCCTTTCCAGGGATACTACAAGGGTACTACATGAGTTCCTTTAAATGGCTCTATAAGGGTTTAGGGAGTTGGCGAAAATTAGGGGTAGTGGACTTGGATGGAAAGAAGTATCCTACTTTCTCTCCCTGGCACCTAGTTCGGGTTCGGAGTAAAGAAACGGATCCTTATAGTAGTCCATATGCCAATACTAGTCTCCATAATCCATTCCCCCAGTCCCTACTCAGAACCAGACAGTCAAGGACCCCCCTGTATATCCCAAAATAGGATCCCCTATAGATCCTTTTATAGGATCTATAGGACCTTTTAAGGAACCCTGAACAGACTATGCGGTCCAGCGCTTGACTGATAGCCCACCACCCAGTTGAGATTCCGTCGATGGGCACCACCCAGAAGCTCCTGACTAAGCCTCATTGGGGGCAGAAAAGCACAAATGACTAATGACTGCTTGCAGCTCGTGGCTAAGCCTGCACTTGGCGTGCCCAGAACTCACAATGAAGAAGGTTACTGCAGCCCGGCTCAAGCGGGACATGGATGCAGCCCAATACACCTGCAGCTGTAGAAGGGACAAGGTCAGTAGCTGCACCGTTCGTCTCCCCCACGGCCAGGAAGTGAAGGTTGCTGCGCACCTCCTTGGACATATCCAAGTCCCCCTCATGCCCTCATGGTCTTTGGGCCCTGCCCCTCTTCAGCTTGCTGGAAGAACACACATGGTTGTCAAAAATAGGGTCCCTGTTTGGGTCCTCAGTATAATACGGCACCGAATATTTAGGGTATCCCAAAAGGGACCATAATTTTGACAACCACCCACATGAAAATGCATTCCGTGCTCGACAAGGAGCAGAGTCCAGAGCCTCGATGTCCGGGTAGTGCTTGTAACAAGTGATCTTCGAAGAGCTGTCGCCAATCATCCGGCCTTTGGCCACGCCAGAGCCTTACCGGCACATAGGTTTTGCTTTTGAGCTCCTTTTTGATGCCTGCTTGCCGTCCCGAAGTCTGGCACATAGGGTTTAGGGTTGAGGGTTTAGGGGACACTGGCTCAGAACAAATGCCGGCTGAGGGTGCCAGCATTTGGATACGTAGCATTGTGCGGTGGGACCAGGCAGGTCCTGTCGACGGCATTGGTTGGGAAAGCCAGTCTATAGGGAAACAACAACAACGACAACAACAACAACACGAAATCCCGAAAGCCTAGACCCGAAGCCCTAAACCCTAAGCAGATGTGGAGGTGCAGACTGAGCGGTATCCAAGGCGCTGCATCCTTCTATGATTGCTGTTGCCTTGCGGTCAGAAGGGAATGGAAAAAATTGCAGCTGCAGGAGCTTTGATTAACCCAGAGACTCCAATATCCCTTAATGAAGGAATCTACCTTAAATCATGACAGGATCCCTGATATGATTTAAGGTATATTCCTTAACTAGGGGATGCTTGAGTCTCTGGGCATGTGGGTCTCCTTGGAGACATTGATTTCTGGCATGGGCCTAGATTCTAGAGTGGTCCATGTTCAACCTGCAGTCCTGCACTCCTACGCAACGACGCGAGCCAAAGCAAAAAGGCAAGCAAACACGACGAGAAGAAATCTACTGCCCTCGGACGGTCTTGGACAGGACACCCACTGTGCAGCTGTCATCAGCGAAGGATCCAGAGGCTCCGGAGGAGCACATTGCAGCTCAAAGTTCTGAACTGTCTCCACACCTGGCGAATGTCAAACGCAGATTTCGTCCTTTGATACATTCCTTACTGTAAGGTCCTTACCACAACTGAGAAGCAATCCCTACCAACAGAGCACCGGCACATTGGCTGCCGCAAGACAAGACAAGCGATTTTATGACGTTGTCGACTGCGTGTTCTCTTCAAGCCTTGTTGAATGCATGATAAGAGTTGACCTGTCTTTGTTGGCAGTTTCAACAACTGTCAATTTCCACCCTGCGCGAATGAATTCTTGATTTCCCAACTCTTAGCAACTCGTGCAACAACGTGTTTTCAATCAACAAGGCTGCTCCCGTGCCTGCTGAGTTGCGCAACTTGACACCACCAGCGACTTGCCCGGAGGGCGCAGCACGTGATCCGAAATACAGGGTCACCTGCTGGGTGAGGGGATTAGGGTTTAGGGCTCAGGGTCTCTAGGGTTAAGGGTCTAGGGTTCATGGTTTAGGATCTATGGTAGAGGGTTTAGGGTTTAGGGTTGAGACGACGAGGTAGGGGTATGATCAGATACACAAGACCTCAACAAGAGTTCATGGTTTAGTTTTCTTCTAAGTTCTGTGCCTTGCTGCCTGCGGCTCACGCTGGGATAAACAGGAACTGAAAGGCGAACTAAAATTAACTTCACGTCGATGCGCGGATAAAACCATTCAGGCGCTTGAGAGCAGCCTGTGTATACAGTGATGGCGGATCTCGCTATGGGAAACAGCACATTGGAGGCGGCTCCAGTGTTTCTATGTATGTCATACGTCATACGCATTGCACTCTTCCGTATTCACCTAGCAGAACTGCATCGGCCCAGGTCGAACTCAACTTCAAAATCTTCTTCACGCATGCTGGCAGCTTGGCAAGAACAAGCTTCAAACTGCTAACACAAAGACTCACAGCAGCAAACTGCATGCTTCCACGCGGCTCGACCCGGAATTGTCGGTGAGATGCCTGAACAGATCAACCTCAGCTTGCAAACTGAAAAGTTTGCGGTTGCGCACCAAAACTCCATGGTTTGAACACCTCTTTCCCATCAGAAATGCCACCTGGCGGACAAAATGGTCCTTCTTGGAAAAAATTCAACAATCCTCAACTTTACCTGAAGTCGTGAAGATCTGTTCTCCGAACCTTTCCGACATGTTCAAACCTGTGCCCCGATCTTGGTTTTAGGTGGCATCCCTGCATCCAGGCACGAAAGCTGGGCGTGCAACTCCGCCAGCTGCACAATAAGAAGGAACGAATGGAAGGTGGGAATTCCCATGGTACGCTGCAATCAACGGCCCTGGAACATCACTTACCCATAAGAATCATGAGACAGCCTCAAGTTCCTGCCAAAATCTGTGTTGAAGAACTCATCTGCAAAAAACAGTTGCGAAGACATCATGTCTCGGCTTCAGCACACTTGTCTTGTACTTGTAAAACTGCGGCGAAAGCAACATGTGAAGAAAGGAGCTCAAAACCACTGCAAACAAATGTGCAGATAAATGCTTGTCTTTCGATTGAATCGTAAAGCAGTGGAGCCCCCATTTTTGCGTAACTAAGGAAAAGAAAGTGCACAGAATCCAAGAAAAAGAGTGTGGGACTTCTCAAGGGCAGGAAGCCCGGGCTTGGGAACTGTAGATTTTTATTTGAAAACCCACCCTCGCCACCCTAGGAGATATTTTTCGTTCTCCAGTGGACCTGGTAGTACGAGCGATTGCTGTTGGCAACTTCTACACTTGAGGCACGTTTCAGGTTCCTCCTGACAGGTATTCGGTGAGATGGTACCGGTGATTGCCTTGGTACCTCTTTTTTGCATTCGCTTCGGACCTGTAAGTGCTTTGCTTGCAGGCCGCTTGCTAAGGTACAGACCGTGAGCCGGACACGGCTTGAGAGTTGGGATAGTTTCTCCACAAGGGGGTCAAAAGAGTCTTGTGTCTCACAGGACTGATTGAGATCGAATCTGCCGTGTTCGGTACTGTTTACCCCACCGTGTGAAAAGGACCTTCGGAGTGACATCGTCATGTTGCAAAGCATTGCATGAAGTTGAAGCATTTGTTCCTCGAGTGCTCAAACACGCGGATCATGGACAATAGAGATTCACACAACTCAGAAACATACAAGCACGATCTTAGAACAATAACCAAGGCTTCTCGAAAGCATGAGGCTGCGCTCCCTCCGCCTTATGCGGGATGATGTCGAATTTCTTACCTACTAAGTGATGTACGTACGTAAGAGAGGCACGCACCTCATCCGGTTTTGAATGTGCAAGAACCGCGCCAACACGACTGCCGCCCATTCCAATAATGGCACCATGGCGAGGTCCGTAGCGGTTAGCAAGAATCGCTCACCTGCAACACGGGCGCAGTAGACGATGGTTGGCAAAACTTAAACAACTTCAAAAGTGACAGGGTTGCCAGAACTTTACACCGCACAGGCAGTCCTTGATTACTTCACATACGGTTCTACGTATCCGCGATGGTTTTCCTGTCAGTATATTCGCCCAGCGAGACTGATGCAGCCAATGCTCATTTTTCACATACAAGCCAACATGAGTATGAACATGAGTATACGCACACGAGCATACGCACGTACATGTCCACGCATCCATAAAGTGACGATAACTTGAAATGTCCAGTTGCACGTGTGGATGTAAACACCCGAGGCCGGCGATTGCAGAAACACCCTAACATGAGATGCTAGATCGTGAACCTCAAGCTCCAATGTAGATGACGGATGGCAACTCATCCCACCGAAACAACAAGTCCTTTTCAAGATGCATAAAACCCCAAATGCAACGAACTTACACGGGCATAGTCAGCAACAGTAGTTCGAGTGCACAAGCATTAGGACACAAGGCATGGTTCAGTTGTCACATGAATGGGATAACAATACTACAAATCTATGTCCAAAAATTGTAACTATACTTTGCTAATAACTAGCAGCAAAAACACGAAGGAAAATGGCTGGCTTCGTGGGAAATACGCGCTGCCACGGCTTCTCACTGCGACGGGTGAGTATTCTGCTGATGTTCGCAAGTTAGGTTGAATCAAAATTGCAACCGCCTGAAAACGGAGTAATTAACCAAAGGGGATGCAAAAAAGAAGCAAGCACTAAAACAACATCGTAAAACTTTTCAGTTCTCTGAAAACTTTTCTCGTTGTTGTTTCCGTGTCACGCAGCAAAGTGCGCACAGTCAGACTGTGAGACCTGCCCAGCGTCGGCCCTGGAATGCACTGTGGCACCTAGGCACCCCGCAGCGAACTGCCAAAAGCAGGTGCACTGCAACAAGAGAGACGAGCTCTCGGTGGAGAAGACTCCACTGGACTACGCAGTATCCGACATGTACAATCAGAAGGTTAACAACAGTGTGAGACACCGAGAGAGAGGAGAACCCTCATCTCTGAAGGTCTGAGAAACTGAATGTTTTCCTTGATTCTTCAAACACCTACGAATGCACGGAATCAGCATATCATGCAAGGCGACATACAAACTACTTCACATGAGAATGTGCAAGCATGCAAAGCGGAAAAATAAAATGGGAAAGATAAAATCATTTCGATCCCACCCAAAACAAGAGGTACCCAGTGGGCACGTAAATCACAAACACCCCGCCAAAGCATCCTCGTGTTAAAGAACGGGCTTCACTAAGCTTCCTACTCTCAAACTGAAGCGGTCACTTTTCCTTGTGGGTCACTGTGTCCGCTGGTCTTGAGCCTTGCACGTCGCGTGTGCGTGACGGCTGTTCCTGTACATTAACTGCACTGCACTAACTGTGTTACTGTTCCTGGCAAGATGTTTAACACCCCGCCTTCGGAGTTAGCGAAAGTTCCTCGACTGAGGTGACTCCGACTTTTCCTGTCAACAGTAAACACACTGCAGTTCCTTTTCACTTGCAAAACAAACATTCTGCCTCATCGCAAACATATGTTCCTATGTTCACTCGCAATCCTCTCCAAGGTTGCTCGACTGTACAAAAGACGTTCCTTTACTATACTTAGATCACCACAGAAACAAAAAGGGCTGTGCCACGGTTCCTGTGTCCTGCTGCTTCTTTCCTCGGCTCTCTGGCCTCAGTACTGCTCGCTGTTCCTTTGCTTCACTGGAAGGTCACTTCGCCGTCGTCGACCTTGTAGCCTTTTACTCCTTCTTCTTCGTTGCTGACTTCTTTCTGTTCCTTGAGTTCTTGCTCTAGCCACTCTGCACGCTGCCTTGCTTGTGACATGCACTTCTCTTTTCCTTGCTTGTCTCTTGATCCTGCTTTCCAACCTGTTTCCTTTGATCCGGAATACCAGTACCACTGCGTCTTGACTTCGTTCCACTTCCACTGGTAGTTCCTGTTCTGGAAACCGTAGACTGCAAACCAGTTTCCTTCAAGCTCTCCTTTTCCTTTGCCCTTCATGAACGATTCTTCGTTCACTGGTCCTTTGGCGGAAAGTTCTGGGTCGTCCTTTCCTCCTTTCCTTTGCTGCTGCTGTGTGACACTCGGTGGCTCCTTTCCTGTTCCTTGTGCTTCTGGCTTCTCCTCTTCCTTTGCTGGTGTTGTGTCTGGTTCCGTGGGTGCCTGCGACCCGGCTGCTGATCCTCTGCTCTCAAGCTCCTGTGTAAGGCTTGCAATTCTTTCTTTATCCTCTTTGCGTTCCTTCATCATCTCCTTCATCATTTCTTCAAGCTTCTGGATCCTGTCTGCTTCTCCTGATCCTGTTGCTGTTGATGCTGCTGCCTTCTTCTCTGCTTCCTTCTTGGCAATGTACGCTGACGATGCCTTTTGATCTTCCTCTCTCTTCTTCCTGGCTTCCTTCTCTTTTCTTTTCTTCTCCTGCTCCTTTCTTTCCTTTTCCTCTTTGGCTGCTGTGGCTGCTGCTTCTGTCTCCTCCTTTTCCTTTGCCTCTCTCTCTGCTTTTGCTTTGGCTGCCGCTTCTACCTCTCGCCTTCTCTCGGCGGCTGCTGCGGCTTCTGCTTTTGCCTGCTCTCTGTCTCGCTTTTCCTGCTCTTCTGCTGCTTCTTCCAAAATCCTTCTTGCTTTGGCAATCTGCTCCTCCTTTGCCTTCTTCTCCTCTTCTGCTTTGGCTTTTGCTTCCTTCTGCTCCTTTGAGATCTTGTCCTGTTCATCCCAATATTTGCGATCATCTTCATCTCGAGGTCGAAATCCTGTGCTTTCTGCTCTTGCCTTTGGCTTTCCTCTTCCTTTTCCTTCCTTCTTTCCTTTTGTTCCCTTCTCGTGCTTGTACGTGTAGTCCTTGTCGATGTGGATCTTTTCTCCTGTGACTCTGTGCTGCTTGTAGATCTCGCCGTTCTCGGAGTATTCCTTCCATTCGCTGCTGTAGTCGTAGGGGTACGGAAACTGCTTCTTTTCCTCTTCTTTCTCCTTTAGCCTTTGCTTGCTTTTGGCGTTGATCTCCGCGATCTTCTTCTTCCTTCTTTCTTCCTTTGCTTCCTCGCTTTCTTCTTCCTCTGCTGCTGCTGTTCCTTCTTCTGCTTTGGCTTCTTCGGGGTACTCCCCGGGATCTTCTCCTCCAACGTAGCTGTCCACGTAGGCCTCGTTCTCGTTCTCGCCGAAGTAGTCCTGGCTTTCTTCCTGTTCTTGGAGTCCTTCGAAGTAGCTCCTGTCTGACCAGTTCCTTATATCGTCTTCTCCTTTGTGTTCCTGGGAGGTAGGTGACGTAGCTCTCGAAGGTGCTGTTCCTTGTCCGTGTCCTTCACGACGTAGTTCACCTTCTAGTTCTCGGTCCTTGGCTTCTCTTTTCCTTTGTTCCTCTTCGTCTTCTTCTTCTTCTTGCTGTTGTTCGTAGAAGTCCTGCATCATCTGGTTCAGCTGTTCCTTCACGGAATCACATGTACCTAGGACGAAGTTCATGTGTTCCTTGACCTGCTTCCGGTCTCTTTCGTTCTCTTCGGCCATTTCCTGAACCTGGTGCTTCACGCTGTAGATTTGGGATGTCAAACTTTCCACACATCCTGCAACGTGTTCCTGACTTTTGCGCAAACGCGCAGCTTCCTCTGTGTTCTTCCTGATCGACTCCGCGATCAAGTTCCTTTCTTCTGTAGCAGTCTTCAACGTGACTGCCGCTTCTTTCAAGGTCTGAAGTTCCTTGACGATCTCTTCTGAGCTTTTGCTTGAACTCGCGCTCGCTTCCATGGCTGCTGAGGTTCCTGGTAAGGTGCCTTGACCTGCTACTGGGCGTACTAGTTCCTGGATACCTGAGCGTTCCGCGAGTGTTCCGCAGAGTTCCTTGAGCTGCGAAAGCATCTCACTACATGTTGTTCCATGCGCTGTTCCTGCAAACGTTCCTAGCTCACATGCACTCGTGTCACTGCATATGCCGTCCTGCTCGCATGCACTTGCACAGCAGAAAACATGTTCCTGAAAGTCTGCCTGAAACTCTTCTTCTTGAACACAACTCTCAAAACACTGTTCCTTGAAACTCTGAATCTGAAGACTGTCCGAAATACCTGAAATTCCTGCAAACAACAAAGCTGCAAAAGACAAAGTTCCTGGGCTCTTGATCATCCTTACAACTGCTTTAGCTTGTGTTTGGGCCTTGTGTTCCTTGAGCTCTTCTCTACCTACTGGCTCGTTCTCGCTGGTCTGAAAACCTAGCCAGTGTAACAACAGTCTGATACGCTTCGCTGAAAGGGGCTTGGTTCCTATATCAGCTGTGTTTTCCTTGGTTCCTACTGGGTGAACACTAATTGTTCCTTCTTTGTGGAGGTCTTGAAGAAAAAGGGTCCTGATCTGCAAATGCTTGACTCTACCTACACCTTGCCTTGTAATAATTCCTCTAGCTGCAGAAGAATCCATATACAAGTGTACCTTGCATTGTTTCCTGGTCAAGAATTCCACTGCTTCCTTCAACAAGATAGAATCTGACGCTGCTGACGCTCCTGCGTAGTACTCTGCTTCACCACTGCTCAAGCTAACCGACTTCTGGTTCCTAGAAAAAGAGTAAATGCACTGACCGTCTAAGCAAACAATTCCTGAAGATGTTGAGCGCCTTGTGTCCTTCTTTCCTGCCCAATCTGAATCACTGAAGACTTCCAAAAGGTGGTGTTCCTTGGGCCTTGTTCCTGTAAAGTCGTAGTTACCATTCCTAATGGATTCATTGAGATTACTGAGTCCTCTGGGTGTCTTCCTGTACACTAGATGATATCCTTCAGTTCTCGACATGTACTGCACTAGGTGGACTAAGTGCTTCCAAGAACCATGTGTTGGTTCCGACATCTTGGAGGCTAAACCTCTCACGGCAAACTGCACGTCAGGGCGGTCCTGACTGACATACAAGAGTATGCCAACGCTCTTCCTGAACGATGCTGCTTGTTCCTGGTTCAAGGTCTGAGTGTTGTCCTGTTCCTGCGACTCTTGGGTGCACGGAGTTGGCTTTGAGGCTTTGCTGGTAAGCTTCAGTTCTTCCTTAAGCTTCACAAGATACTTCGGGTCACTCGTGATGTGGAGCTCGTGATTGTGGTAGCTGAATTTCCTTTTAAGGAATCGGATTGTCTGGTGTGACTCTCCTACTTCAAGTTCCTGCTCTGTCAAGAAGGGGCCTTCAACCTTTAGCTCGTAGGTTTCTCTTAGCTTTCCTAGCTTGGGCTCTAGGTGCCTTGTTTTCCCTGCTGCCTGAATGTCATCTACATGCACAACAAGTATGCTGTTCCTGTCGTCACGAAACAAAGTAGGGCATGCTTTGCTCCTATCAAAGTTCTGCTCTTTGAGGGTTCCTGCAAAATGATCACTCCATAGTAGTGCTGCATCTCGCTGTCCTGGAAGTACTCTTAGCAGTAACAAACCTTCGTTCCTACAACTAGGGTCCTGGTCGCCAAACAGATCCACATATTCCTTTGGGAATTGACATGCACATCGGGTCCTTTGTGGTACCTGCAAGAATGCGTCCTTGACATCAATGGAGTACAAGGCGTGTTCCTGTTGTAGTCCCAAAATAGGGATAAGTCTCACCAACGATGCGCTTGTTGCTGGGCTGAATGTGTCATTCCTTACTTCTGCTGCTTTGAACTCTCTTGCGACTAGCCTAGCTCTCCTTGTCCATCGGCCGTTCCTGAATCGCCAATCGAAGACGAATTTCGTCGTCAACCACTTTGTTCCTTGGTTGCTCTCTTCTTCTTCTGTCTCTCTCTCCTCTTCTCTCTCGAGTTCTTGCAAGGGTTTCCTTGCCAATGCCTTCATCTCGGTGAGTCTGTTGATCTCTGTGAGCATTGCCTCACGATCCAGTTCCTGCAACTGGGCTTCTGCAACTTCTGGAGGTCCAGAATCTTCGCTCTTGAAGATGTCTTGTTCCTCGTCGGAATCGCCAATGTCCGAATACGAATCTTCCCAGAAAATGTCCTCTGTACCTGGTTCTGCTTCAGGTAATTCTTCATCATTGTGCTCAAATACTCTTCCTACGTTGAACGGAGGGTACTTCTTCTTGGGAGAATCAATCTTTGGGATCTTGGAACCTGTTCCTACATCATCAAATTCCATTTTCCTAAGAGGTGCTGGTCCTCTAGCTGAAAGAAGTTCACTTGCCATTGCACTGTCTGGAATGAGTTCTTCTTCTGAGGCTGCGTCCATTTCCTTACTGCTGCTACTAGAAGACGTTGGGTCTGAAGCTGCTTCGTCGTGTTTG